CTCACATCAGGATGCCTGAGTCCTCCGTTTTCTCTCTTAATCTTAGAGTGCACCAGAAACTTTACTATTTTTAGTAATGCCACAGAATTTGAAATTGCAACCCCAATTGCAACCCCAGAGGCAACTAGATATGTCTGATTACAGCAAATGTGTTATTGTCAATTTGTAGGTGAAAGATTTTATCCTCAATAGATGTAGGTTAACATTTCACCTGTAGGCAAATGCTTAGAAAAGCCTGAGTAAGGAAGCATATTCCTTTAACACATAATATCTGACCAGTATGGGGAGGATCATCGTGTCTCCGTCAGGGGGTCGAGGAGTGGTGGTCCAGCAGGTGTCACGTGTTTTTTTTTAGGGGGGTGGGGGGGGGGCCACGAACCTATATGCGATCGGACGCTCTTCGGTCAGACGTTAACCGGCGCATGACTCTGTGTATGTATGTATGTATGTATATATATATATATATATATATATATATATATATATATATATATATATATATATATATATATATATATATATATATATATATATATATATATATATATATATATATATATATATATATATATAGTTAGTACCTCACTTAACGCGGCCTTCACTGGAACCCAGAGGGTCCTGCGTTAAGTGAAATCCGCATTAAGTGAACAACAGAACATATGGGATTAATTCCAATAGAAACCGGCCTGACCCCCAAACTCCACTTTTTGAAGGCACATACCTATGTTGTAGTAAAAATAACATCTTAATTTTATGATGGTACATGCACTCAATTAATACTTAAGAGAAATACAGTCGCCAAGTTAATGTCCATTCAAATAATGGACTCAACTCCCTCCCTCTCTCACAATAATTACACTGCTTGGGAAAACCACTAAATTTTAGTCAAATAATACCTCAAACTAAAAGTTAGGATAATACAGTTGACATTGCTGGATTCCTTGTAAGACCAGGAATATTTTGAATATAAATGTCATATATTTTGCACAAAAGATAAATATAGTTACCTAGAGAAAAAATTTTATCTAAAAATTGTATGTTTAATGCAAAATATATGATGTTTATATTCAAAATGATCACCAAATTATAAGAATTCCAGCAATGCAAATTATATTCTGACCGGGCAATTTGTATGAATTTTATGAGCTAAAACAAATATCTTCAGTTAATAAAAAAAAAAAAATCTTCACGACACTATCTGTCAATCAAAGTACCCCACCTTGCCTCCCCCCCTCTTCCAACCGCGCGGTCAGTCCCAACCCTCCCCCCCACCCCCCACCAATCCTCCCTTCCAGAGTTTTTAACATTTAGTATTAAATAATAATACCTCAGATTAAAGTTAGGGATAATATAATTGACATTGCTGGATTCCTTGTGGATCAGGGAATATTTTGAATATAAATGTCATATATTTTGGTACTAAAAAAGATAACATAGTTACCTAGAGAAAATTTTTTATCTAAAATTTGTATGTTTAATGCAAAATATATGATGTTTATATTCAAAATGATCACCAAATTATAAGAATTCGAGCAATGTAAATTATATTCTGACCGGGTAATTTGTATGAATTTTATGAGCTAAAACAAATATCTTCAGTTAATAAAAAAAAAAAAAATTCTTCACGGGGTAACAGATGGTCCGTCGGTCCCTCCCTCCCCCCCACCCCCCACCAACCGTCCCAAGGAGATGTGTGGGATAACCACTAAATTTTAATAAATAATACCTCAAACTAAAGTTAGGATAATATAATTGACATTGCTGGATTCCTTGTAAGACCAGGAATATTTTGAATATAAATGTCATATATTTTGCACAAAAGATAACCTAGTTACCTAGAGAAAAATTTTATTCAAAAATTGTATGTTTAATGCAAAATATAAGTGATGTTTATATTCAAAATGATCACCAAATTATAAGAATTCCAGCAATGCAAATTATATTCTGGCCGGGTAATTTGTATGAATTTTATGAGCTAAAACAGGCAGTCAGGCAGGGTATGGTGGGCAAATCTAAAAAATAGCGCCCAGCCGGACACTTCCACCGCCGACACTCACCGCTGAGATGGTGGAAAAATCCGTGTTAAGTGAAACCGCTAAGAAGGGGTAATATATATATATATATATATATATATATATATATATAGTAAGAGTATATATATATATATATATATATATATATATATATATATATATATATATATATATATATATAGTATATATATATATATATATATATATATATATATATATATATATATATATATATATCTATATATATATATATACAGTCAACCCTCACTTTACGCGGTCCCACATTCCGCGTTTCCATGTTTACGCGGTACCCTGCCAGAACCCGGGATGCTCACATTCCGCGGTGCATGTACCCCTTTACTTGGGTGAAGTATAATTTTTTTATTTAGCTCATAAAATTCATACAAATTATCCGGCCAAAATATAATTTACATTGCTGGAATTCTTACAATTTGATGATCATTTTGAATATAAACATCATAGATTTTGCATTAGACAAACAAATTTTAGATCTAATGCAAGTATTTTGTTTACTCAGAGCAAATATGTTATCTTTTGGGCAAAATATATGAAGTGTATATTCAAAATATTCCTGGTCTTGCAAGGAATCCAGCAATGTCAATTATATTATCCTAACTTTAGTCTGAGGTACTATTTATTACAGGTTGACAACCCTTTATCCGAAATTTCAAAAGCCTAAAAGCTCTAAAAACCGAAAGTTTTTTTTTTTTTTTTTTTTTTACCAGGGATTATTAGCCATCCCAGGCACAGATCACTGACCCGCATCGGGGCCTGGGGGGCGAAAATGTAATAGTAATAATGATTATAATAATAATAATTATTCATAGTAAATAAAATTTTTAATAAAAATACACCAAAATATAATAATGATTACAATAATAATAATAATAATAATAATAAAATATAATAATAATCATAATAATAACATTAATACTGTAATAATAAAATAATAATAATACAGTAAAGAAATACAAGAATGAAAAAAAGATCAAAATTGAGAAACATGACCTAGACCTATGAATTATTATTATTATTATTATTATTTTTATTATATTTTCGACCCCCAGGCCCCAATGTGGGTCAGTGATCTATGCCCGGGTGGGCTAATACACATAATAATAAAAAAAAAAGAATAACCCTCACCGTTCTGAAAACCGAAAAATTCCAAAAACCTAAATGCCTCTGGCCCCAAGGATTTTGGATAAGGGATTGTCAACCTGTACTAAAAGTTAAAATCTAGTTTTTTCACCCAACATTTCTCTGGTAGGGAGGGAAGGTAGGGGAGGGGGGAGGGTTGGGACCGACTGACCATCTGACGTGGTTGGAAGAGGGGGGGAGGCAAGGTGGGGTACTTTGATTGACAGATAGTGTCGTGAAGAATATATTTTTTTTTTATTAACTGAAGATATTTGTTTTAGTTCATAAAATTCATACAAATTACCCGGCCAGAATATAATTTACATTGCTGGAATTCTTACAATTTGATGATCATTTTCAATATAAACATCATAGATTTTGCATTAGACATACAAATTTTAGATCTAATGTAAGTATTTTGTTTTCTCTGAGTAAATATGTTATCTTTTGTGCAAAATATATGACATTTATATTCAAAATATTCCTGGTCTTACAAGGAATCCAGCAATGTCAATTATATTATCCTAACTTTAGTTTGAGGTATTATTTATTACTATACCTTAAAATCTAGTGGTTTTCCCCCAAAAATTTCTCAGAGAGGGAAGAGCCAGCGAGTGTAGTGTGAGAAGAGGTGGAGGGAGTTGAGTCCATTATTTGAATGGACATTAACTTGGCGACTGTATTTCTCTATTTCTCTTAAGTATTAATTGTGTGCATGTACCATCATAAAATTAAGATGTTATTTTTACTAGAACATAGGTATTGTGTCGGAAAAAGTGGAGTTTGGGGGTCAGTCGGTCTCTATTTCATTTAATCCCATATGTTATGTTGTTCACTTTATGCGTTTCTCGCTTTACGCGGGCCTCCGTGGGTTCAATTGACCGCGTAAAGTCTATGTTGTAGTAAAAATATTATCTTGACTTTATGATGGTATGCACACACAATTAATAATTAAGAGAAATATCAATAATATTAGGTTTTTTAACACTTACATTTGTAGAAAAGATGGCTGGGCACACCAGGATGGGGGGTTGGTTCCGAGGCAGAGGGCAGATTATTGGCCCTCACCTGTATCAATTGTGTCACTATCCACCACAGAGGCTTGCAGGGCCTCTTTGTCAAACCCCTTAAAGTCCATATAAGTCCATATCCTCAATATAATTATCACTATCACTGACTTGGGCCGGCTGTGGTGGGTGGCGGGTGAAGAACTCGGTAATGTTTTGATGACTGGGTGACCTTGTGCGCACCCTGCTCGTGCCTCTCTCCTCGTAAAAGGGTACACACACCTCGGAAAGTGAGCATTCCGGTTTCGGCAGGGTACCGCGTAAACGTGGAAACGCGTAAAGTGGGACCGCGTAAAGCGAGGGTTGACTGTATTTATTTATTTATTTTATTTTATTTTTTTCATAAAATATGCATTAATATCACTTTGAACTTATTTTCCTCTGCAGCAGTCAGTTAACATAATGCAGTATATAAATGTTTTGTAGGTGATCTTTTCAGGTCCACAGTGGTGCCTTGTATGACATCCTTATCCACTCACCTGAGTCAGACACACTGTGCTGGAGCTTTTAAATTTTTTTATTAAATTTTGAAAAAGTGCTTAAGCTTTTCATAAATTTTTGGCTTAAAAATTTGTCCTTAATATATATTTTATGGAATAAATATTATTGTTTAAGAATTACCGGTAGTCTTTAAAACAAAAATTAATCATTGATGTACTGTATCCATAAAGGATTTATTTTTTTCTCTGTTCATAAACAGTATCTGTTGATTTAATCTTCTGTCTTTTCTTTTTTTTTTTAGGCTGCCAGTACAGCAAACCAGCCAATGACTTTCTGCCAAGAGTATGTGAGACTTCGGGCAGAAACTTTCATGTGCCATGCTCAGTTACTCCACGCCTGCCTCTCTCTCCGCACTGCTCCTCCTCCGGCAATTGCTGCATCACTAGCAACATCAACAAGGGATGATCTCCTACGATGTGGTAGAGTCTCACAACAACTTGCAAAATCAGCCCGAGACTTCAACAGTTTAGCCTCTCAGTATGGAAGTCTTTACCAGGTAGAGTTCTTGTGTTTTTATTTCTTTATTATCCTTTTAATAACACATATATGCACGGTAAATAAATTAGTTAGTAATTATAATTACCTAGTAATAATAGTTATACAATACCACTAGTTTTACAAAAGAAAGTTCTGCTGGAAAAACATGAATGGAGCTCTATAGTAATATGTATTATGATAATACAAAGCAATATATGAGTGAAAGGAATAATATATTATAGAAATATGAATATAAGGATATACAGGTCAGAGGAGACTTAGCATAGCCATGAATTCATTTGGGTCAGTCACCTTACACCAACCTTATTCAATGACTTATCTTTTGGGTATCTCATAGGTAATAGGTTTCATGGGAATTAATTCACCTGCTCCTATCAATATGAAGTGTTGTATAATTATTACTATGAATATTTAGGATTCTACTCTCTATGTAAATCTGGTAATTGGTTTAAATAACTGACTCAAGTCTACATAAATCATGACCTGACACTTGTAACCCACTTTTTTTTTTAATTAGTACCTAGATATTCTCCTATTATTGTTGATATTTAATAAACATATATTATGTGGCCTTATTTTTTATTATACAATCTTAAGATAAACTAAAAATAGATAAACTTTAATAAAGAAGTTACCCTTTTAGAAGGCAGAGGCCTGTCCTAAGCTGAATAAAATCATCTGGCATTAACCAGAATAAAGTCATCGGACATTAATAAGTATAAATCGTCTTGCATTAATCGGAATAAAATTGTCTGGCGTTTGCCAGAATAAATTATCAGAAGTCCACTTGCCTGCAGAAAGGGTTAATTGAGATAGTTTACCAATTTGCCTCTATGCAACATCCAACACTTCGACTTTATTCCCTGGCTCTCATTCTGTACACAACTTTAGCATGAATCCTCAAGAGGAAAGGCTCTGCATAAGAGGAAGAATTGTCAGCATGAGACAGTCCGGTCTTTCTATTGCTGGCATAGCTAGAGAGTACTTGGAGTTTCCAAGCCCACGGTCCAATTTTAGTGCAGGAGATGGGAAGAGTTGGGATTCTTCAAGACCAACCAAGGTGTGGTGGGCCCAGGAAGATTACTCTGGATGAGGATAGATGACTCTTGGAGGCAGCTAAATGTTCCCTAATTACAAATCCAATTGCCTTGAGAGACCAATTGTAACTGGATGTTTCACATGGAACAATTCGAAACAGACTGCAAGCAAAATTAGGAACATTAGAAGATCGTCATTGACAGGCAATTCTTGAATTTGCACAACATAAGAATGATATCTTGATTACTGGGCTGTGTTATTTTCATGGAGGAAAAAATATTTTTGTCTACCACCCATGGTAGTCTTCACTGTTGGCGATCAAATAGCGCATGAGATGAACGCCAAAAGTTCTTTGAAGTGGCACACAACGAGCATGTGATGTGTCATGTATGGGTGCATCTGCACAGCGCAGGTGAATTGACTGAAGTCATCTTTGACCTGCCATGCCTTGATTGGTTTCTTAAATTCCCCGGCTCTTCCTATCTTCTGCACCAAAGTCTGACAGGGGTGGTTCCAGGAATATCAAAAGGGGGGTGTCCAAGAAATTTTGGGTGGGGGAACATGGTGAGCACAGCGAGCCCACCCAGCTGGAGGGGTTAGGGGCACTACAAACTAAAAATAAATGCAGGAAAGTACACTTACTTTGAGGTGTGCATGTAGAAGACTCCTGGTTGATGATGATGATGATGGGAATTAGAAGTGGGGGTGGAGGAGAAGGGAGAAGAGGAGGCAGTGGAAGAGAAATCACCCCATGCTTCATGCCGTCATTTCACCCATAAAATTTTAAGTTCACTCGGTGTAATTCAAGATTATTTTCTTTAAATCAACACTGCACTCACTATATATTGTCAATATGTAAAATAAATTTAAGAATGACCAATAATTGTACTGTAAAAACGTAAAAATAGTTTATGTTCAAGAGAGTCTCAAGCAAGATGTTACCTCTACTGACCAGAGATACAAACTTACGCCTGTTTGGTGAGTTGAGTGGCTGTTTGGCGCACTAAAAACTAGTTTCCTGTACTTCAATTATGTTAAATAATTGTTAAATGACTAAAAAATTTAATATAAAACTTGGAAAATTATTTAATAGTACAACCTTCTTGATATTTACTCAAATGGGAACGAATTTAAGCCCTAGAACCGATTACTGTATTGGCTGACTTATATTCCAGCTGGTGAGCAAGCGAAAACATGTTGAGAGGAATTCGTAAGGAATTCGTTAACCGAATTTTTTTCGTCAACCGAATTAAATATTCTTATGGAAGGTAATTAGTTAGCTGAAATTTCGTTAGCCAAGGCGTTCGTTAACCGTGGGACCACTGTAGTTAATATGCAGCTTCTCACATGTCAGTGGCTGATCGTCGCATGCAACTTGTACTAGACAAGGTTTCACGCTGGATTACAGAATTTGGTTTCAGATTTTCTCCCTTAAAGACAGATGCTATGCTTTTCTGCTGCCTCCAAGGTGTTCACCTAGATTCCGATCTACAGCTCTAGGGGCAAGGTGTGAGGTGTGTCACAGAGACCCGTTTCCTGGGCATTATCGTCGACAATCTGCTTACATGACAGTCACATACTCATTACCTCAATGAGTCTTGCCAGCGTGCTCTCAAGTTATTGAGAGTCTTGGGGCACACATCATGGGGTGCTGACTGAGGAACTCTGCTACACCTTTACCACATGCTAGTTAAACTCAAACTGGATAATGGGTGTGAGGTGTACTCCTTAGCCACTGAGGCTAGACTCAATACACTGAACTCTATTCATGCTGGGGTGCGACCGGTGCCTTCAGGTCCTACTAGTTGATGCTGATGAGCCACCCCTTAATCTTCAATGTCCGTATCTCCAGCCGAGTGTTGCTTTCACCACCACCACCTTCCGCAATCTGTAACCAACACTTGTGTAGTTGATGAGACTTGATGTCCCCACACTACACTCAGCATCTGGGCCTCCCACGACCTTTTGGCTTCATGATAAGGGAAGTGGGAGAATTCTTTGTCTTCCTCCTATTCATGTATGCCCCATGCGGTTCCCTAGTGCTGCTCTGTGGTTTCTCCCTGAAGTTCAAGTTTGTCAGTATTTTAATGAAAGGAAGGACTTACTTCCTCTCTGTGTTGTCCATTCTCTTGTTTTAGAGTATGCCTTCTCTCACAGGGGGACTATCCCTGTATACACCTAAGTCGGGTGCAGGGGTGGGTTTTTTGGTGGTCTTTCCCGTTATGGCATCTATTTTTACTGCAGAGCTTTCAGGTATTCATCAGAGTATGAATCTCCTATCCACTCTGCTGACTGTTTTAGGACTAGGCTTTAGATAGTTCCCATGTCCCACAGGATCACAACTTTTTTTTTAACGGCCATTAACCCACCTGGGCACAGGTCATTTTAATGACCCACATCAATGCCTCGGGGGCAAAAATATAATAAAACAATAATAATTACGATGATGATAATGATAATAATAATTAAATTAATTAAAAATACAGCCATGCGCCGGTTAACGTCCTAGATACGTTCTTGGAAACATGACGTTAACCAAAATGGACGTTGTCCGATCATCGCAGAAACTTTGTATTTATACTTACGTGTATGTGGGATACTATATACGTACATATACGCTTTTACTCTTAAATCACTACTGTAATGTGATACAGGTGATTAATTTTTATCTCTTGTGCAAAATACATGACGTTTATATTAAAATTATTCACTGTTTTACAAGGATTCCAGCAACGCCGGGCAGATGGGGGAGAGAGAGGGAGGGAGCGAGCGAGGGGGCGTGGGGAGAGGGGAGGTAGTACGTTTGACAGTTGGCACAGGCCCAGGTCTAACACGTGTATATTTATCAGTTCTTAAGTGACTAAGCTTCTCTCTTATAAATGACCTGGGTGAATATAATTAACATTGCTGGGATTCTTGTAACATACTGATTAATTTGAATATTAACATGCTATCATTTGCACTAGACAAAACAATTTTAGTACCGTAATCAAATTACAGGTTGTACCTCTGTAGTCCGGCATTCTGTGGTCCGGAAATTCCCATGGTCCGGAACAATTTTAGTTTGTCCAATAGGTAGATAGGCAGCTTTTCTTTTTTTTTTTTACTTATCTGAATTATTATTGCAGGAGTATTAAATTTTTGCCCCTCAGGCCCCAATGTCCACAGGTTCTATCCTGACACAAGGCACGGCGAACTGTTACTGCAACACTGCCCCGAGAATCATCAGTACCTTTATTGATTTCAACTCCCACACCCGACTCTAGCCACGAATTCTTAGTCCTCAGACTTCTCTCGTAGTGGCTAAGGTCCATATGGATGAGGCAGGCACATCTGCTACTCCTCATCTTTCCTCCACCAGCAATCCTGCTACTACAAAAATATCAGCAAAACTCTACCGAGGGTCCTCAGAGTCTCTGGAGGTAGACGATTCTCTGGCCAAAGTATCAATGATAGAATTGTCCGAGTATTATGAACAAAGTGAGACCTCTTTGCTAACTTTAGAACCTAATTCTGAATCCCAGACACGCCAACAGATGTCAGCTCATGCTGGCGCCTCCTTCTCAGAGACGGCGACTGATCCTCTTCCTGAAGTGTCTGGTGACAAGACCCCAGCTAAAATAGAGCTGGCAGCTTGGACCTGTGGCACAGGAGTCACTTCTACAGATCATCCATCTGGGAAGCCAACTCCAGGGGTTAACTCTGGTGTGGGTACACCAGATGGGTCTACTTCTGGGTTGTCTGTGGCCACAAAGCCACAAACACCTCTTTCTACCCTGGGGCAGGACAGAAAAGCCTAGTCCCTCACAAGCCGCCCCCCTTTAACAGGGAGACTATAAGAGGCGCTCGTTATGGTACACTCCCGGTGCATCCTCCAAGCTCCAACATCCAAACTAAGCCTAAACGCCTGTTGGGGGCTGCACACTCACCTACCCCGTACCTAGATCCCCAATAATCATAGCTACACTCTGCTCTCTCCTCTCTTTGTGTGTTTGTCCTTAAGACAATTATTTCTTTTACTTTTTTTCATAGTATGTATGTAGCAATGTGTGTACATGTAACTGAGTAAAAATAAATGAAGAAAATTAAGTACAGTTGACCCTTGCCATAGGTTCCAAGAAATGGCGCGAATTGGCAAAACCACGAATAACTACTTTAACTACCATAGTGCACTACTGTATACCTGTACCAAACAACTGACCAGCCACGGCAGCACTCATCCCCTCTTTTAACTTATCTAATAATAAAACTTTCTTTGTCAGGGTCATCACTGACTTCTACCTTTTACATTTCACTCCACTAGCATCACTATCACTGACACTAGGCAGACTTTTAAGGGCCATTTCACATAGAAACACTAAAGTTTTGAGAGTACAACACGAGATGCTGCGTGGGGTGACTCATGTGCTGTGGGAAAAGGTTTGCAAGCTAGCCACCTTCTGCCTACCGCGAATCGTTGAAATCGCGAATCGCAAACTTGCAAATGACAAGGGTCTATTGTATATTTACCCATGAATACAAGTTGAAAAACAACAATAGCACCTCACAGCTTGGCCTAGTAGCCTGATGGTTACAGTGACAAGTCTAACCTCGCTACAATGCCATGATTAATCACTCTTAAGCACTATTATATCAGTAAACACTAATAATAACAGGAAATCCAGTGAAATATGGCAGGGAGCGAGGAGCGTTACAAGAGCAAACAAAGCTCTTACTAGTAGTCACTCACTTGCTCCCGTCGCCAGGCATATGATCGAAATACCTGTACGTATGGAAGAAATACATATCTTGTAATTAATTTGAAAATGGTGGTAGGCACAATGATTAACAAATTATATAAACCATGCATTTACCTACAATAACACAATAAGAAACATTGTATCATTACTACAGTGATTTACCGGATCCGAATCTTCGAGGGTTCACTGCCAACTGGCAATGTGGCATTTTCTTCTTTTATTTTATTTGTTAGTTTAATTTGTTTTTAGTCCTCACATTTCTTAATTCAGTAAACCCTTGAAGATCCAGAACCCGGGAAATCCGGATTTCGGAAGATCCGGACAAAATTTTTTGAGGTTCTGGGCTAAAAACCCTCCTAGAAGTTTACCTAAGAAACAATCCCAAACCAAAGCAAAGAACATTTTAGGGCCGTGGGCGCTGCTTGACCCGTCAGTTGTTTGGACACAGATGCCTGAGGAGGTGGGAAACATAAACAGAGTTGACAATTGTTGTTTGTGGTAAGATTATATCATTCATTCTTATTATGTTATCATAGATTATTGCATGATATACTGTAATTTGTTTATCACTACAGATTAGTACAGTAGACTCGCAACTTATGCATATTTTCCTTACGAGGTTTCAACCATACGCAGATTACCCAAGGGGTTAGGTTACAATTTCCAATTTCAAACTCAAATTTTTCAAAATGGGTTGTAAGCGCCCCAAACACTAGCCCGCCAAAACTCCACCCCCGCCATCCAAACTCTCTGTATTCAGTTGCCAAGTGGGTATTGTCAAGTAACACCTGCCTCTTGTGTGTGTGTCAATTTAGTGCGCTTAAACCTCTCTCATACTCATTCTTAATGCCCAAACACAAGCCAACCTCTGCCTCTGGTTCTCCATCGAAGAAACAACGCTCTCTGATGACCTTGGAAGAAAAAGTGGCCATTTTACACTTAATAAAAGGCGGGCTGTCGATTGCTGCTGTGGCGCGGAGGTACGGACGCAACGAATCAAGCGTGAGGTCCATCAAGATTTGGGAGACGGAAATTCGTGAAGCCGTGTCTAAAAGTGTCTCATTTACTGCTAAGGTGACTAGCCAGGTTAGAGATGTAACTCTAGTGAAGGTGGAGAAGGCATTAAACATCTGGAACTTTATGACCAGTTTAAATCTGAGGTTCCTCAGGGCAAAGCATCCACCAGCTCTGAGAAGAATTTTAAAGCCAGTGCAGGTTGGCTCGACAGTTTCAGTAAGCATTTCAACCTGAAAAATATTAGAATTACTGGCTAATCGGCATCGGCGGACAAGGCAGCTGCATGGGTGTTCCCAGACGAATTCAGGAAATTGATTGAGGAAAATGGATATCTTCCAGAGCCGGTCTTCAACGCTGATGAAACAGATTTGTTTTGGAAGAAAATGCCAACCAGAACCTACATTTCCAAGTCTGAGAAGCAGGCCGCCAGGTTCAAGGCTGCGAAGGACCGCATCACCATCCTACTATGTGGCAATGCAGCAGGGCATATGATAAAGCCAGGCTTGATTTATAAGTCTGCCAACCCTCGTGCTCTAAAGGGAGAAAATAAGAATCCCTCCTCTTCTACAGGCAGTCAAACAAGAAAGCCTGGGTGACAGCAATGCTTTTCCTTGAGTGATTCTACAAATGTTTTATCCCTGAGGTAAAGAGCTACCTAGAGAAGCTGGGCCTGCCTTTCAAGGTGTTGCTGGTCGTTGACAACACACCAGGCCACCCGGATGCCATAAAATTCGCTCACGATGACATCGAGGTAGTGTTCCTGCCACCCAACACCACCTCCATCCTCTCGACCAGGGCATGATTCAGTGCTTTAAGGCAGCGTATACACGCCTCACCTTCGTCCGTATTCGCAACTCCATGGAAGACGGCTTATATTGGAAGATGGAAGATGACTTATATTGCAGATGATAACTTATATTACCGGTGATGACTTATATTGCAGATGATGACTTATATTACAGGTGATGACTTATATTACAGGTGATGACTTATATTACAGGTGATGACTTATATTACAGGTGATGACTTATATTACAGGTGATGACTTATATTACAGGTGATGACTTATATTACAGGTAATGGCACCTATTCAAAAGATGATGCCTTAGGTAAATCAGTCTTGTCAACAAGAGCCAAATGTGTATTTATTGTTCCTTATTTTTTCAGTCAGTGTTTGATGCTGATCCACAGACACTGTGCAACATAGCCCTTCTGCAACAGGGGGCGCTGTTGGTGGCTCAGGGTATTGAGATCATCACACGGCCATCAGCAGGTCAACTTACTGAAGATTATACTGGCCCTGATCTGACCACCATTACCAGTAAACTTGGGGGTGGAGAGACTGTGGAGACCCAGTCTATCATCACTACACTGGAAGAAGCTACAAACATGGTCCGCAGACTTGCACAGGTCATTAATAGTCAACTACTTTTATGGAAATCTTCAAGAACAGCAGATAATTTCTTCCTCATACATTTTTTACTTGTTTAGGGAGACATGTATATCTACCCCAATGCATCAAACCAGCCAAATGCTTGAACACAGAAGTGGACATCAGTTGTGTATGTTTTAACTTCTGCGAAGTCACAAGTGTGCCAAACTATTTATCTTCCACTGTATTCTTTGTTTTGCAAGTTATCATCATCATGTGACTAAAAATTTTAAGCTGGTGTTTTATCATCACTTGTGAAACTTCATCCTATCTCTTTGGTTTACAGAAGATCGACTTTTTTTTCTACATGTGTAGAAAACTTAACAAAGTATTACACTTCTTCAGTTACATCATTACTGCAGTTGAATCTTCATTGTAGATTATGGAGAAAACTATAACCATTGTGTTTGAAATGTTTTTCTGTATATTCACACTTGCATCTATCCTACAGGTGTCTTGTGAAGTCAAACCTGTGAGAGAACAGCATCTACAGTTGCTGCAAGGAATATCTCAGGTGCTGACAAGTATACCTCTTCCATATCCTCGGTTCTTCTTCCAGACCCTACAGAAGACCACCATAACCCTCGCTCTTCTTCCTCAACCTCGCACACCAGGCGACCCCATCTCTGTTCAGGTTTGTTACCTTGACAGGCTCCTTCAGAAGTCCTCATCAAGTTTGCTTTTTATGTCAGATGCCGTGATGATCAGGAATTAAGCTTATTTCTTATCCAAATTCGGTTCCTATGATTTTGGGTTTAGATCATAAATACTGTACCTCTACAGGTATATTGGTATGTGCCCAACAAAGTACTTAAAGAGGAGGATAGTTATGGGAACTGTTTAGCCTGGTTTCTGACAGCATTGCTGGGGTTATACAGGGTGGTATGAGTTCATTTATCCCATCTTCTACCAAAACTTTCATTATACAATCATGGATTGATCACTCCTGCTCTCTTGCATGCAGGGTGAGAGATAGGGTATATCAAGTTATGAAACTCTCTCCTTCTCCTATTTCGTTTAGGAATCGTTGTAATATTATTCTTCGTAGGGCCAAACGGAATTTTTTTAAAAGAAAGACTGCTGTCCTGACTAATTCTTCTTCTAGTAAATCCTTCTGGTCCTCAACCAAAAACATCTGTAATAACTTCTGCACTCCTTCTTTTCCCTCCTCTCTTCTGACCTGATAGCTCTATAGCCAACTCTCCCCCTGACAAAGCCAATCTCTGTGGCACCCTATTCTCTTCTAATTCCACCTTAAACGACTCCTACTCTATCCTTCCTATCCCTGCTCCTCCTACTGAACTTATGCACTTTCCTATAATTTCCACTCGCAAGGTTGCCGGTGTGTTATCCAGGTTAGATGTGAGTAAGGAGCATGGACCGGACGGAATACCCTCTCATGTTCTGAGGGAGTGTGCTGAAGCTCTGACCCCCGTGTTTGCTTGCCTCTTTTGCCTCTGCCTCAAAACCCAAACTTTTCCTTCTTCTTGGAAGCATGCCTTGGTTCAGCCCATCCCGAAGATGGGTGACTATTCTAATCCCTCTTAATATCGCCCCATTGCCCTAACTTCATCCCTCTCTAAGATTTTCCAAACTATCTTGAACTCCCATTTTCTCCGTCACCTTGAACACTACTCTCTTTTGTTGGATCACCAGTATGGCTTTTGCCAGGCGAGATCTACTGGTGATCTGCTCTCCTATTGCACCCATCTTTGGTCATCCTCTTTTAGGGATTATGGGGAAACTTTAGTCGTGGCCCTCGACATCTCCAAAGCATTTGACAGGGTATGGCACAAGTCTTTGCTTTCTAAACTTCCCTCCTATAGTTTCTCACCCCCACTTTGTTTTCTAAACTCTAGCTTCCTTGAGAACCAATCCATTGCAGTTGTTGTCGAGGGTTCGACCTCTCACTCTTTCTCTACCAATTGTGGTGTCCTACAGGGTTCTGTTTTTTCACCAATTCTCTTCCTTCTTTTTATCAATGATTTACTTCACACTACGACTAATTCTATCCATTCTTACGCTAATGATTCTACTCTTCACTCTTCTTCACATTTTCCCCTTCCCCCTAACTCTCAAACTAGATCTGTTTCCAGAGCTGATATCTATCAATGCGGATCTGTGCAGCATCTCTGAATGGGGAAGTAGAAACTTGGTTAAATTCAATAGTAATAAAACTCAGTATTTACCTATTACACTTTCTATATTTGATGATCTCCCACCAATTACATTTCAGGGCGCTATCATTCTGCCAAATACTAAAATAGATATGCTAGGCCTCACCATTTCCTCTAATATGTCATGGAAGCCACACATCCTCAACATTGCTAAAGCTGCCTCCCGAAAGTTGGGAATGCTGTACAGATGCTGTAGTTACTTCACTCCTGAGCAGTTGCTTCAAGTATATAAGGGATTTATTCTTCCTAACTTGGAGTACTGCTCTCATATCTGGGGTGGCTCTTCTTCTGTCCAACTGTTAGATAGGGTGGAATCAAAGGCATTTCGTCTTATAAACTCTCCTCCTTTAGTTGATAATCTTTCTTCCCTTTCTCTTCGCCGCAATGTTGCTTCACTCTCTCTCTTTTACAGGTACTTTAACGGGCAATGTTCGGTGGATTTGGCATCCTGTGTACCGCCAGCAAGGCCGTGGGCTCATAACACTCGTCTTGCCCGAGGTGCCCACCATTTCTCTGTGGATGTCAGTCACACTAGAATAACCCGTTATAGTGCATCCTTCTTTCCTCACACAGCCAAACTGTGGAATGCTCTGCCTTCTTCTGTGTTCCCATACTTATACACTCTGTCTCACTTTAAAAAGCTGGTTTTCTGGCATCTTCGTGGTATAGATTAATACAGTACAGGTTGTACCTCTCTAGTCCGGCAACCTCAGGACCTGACCGGTGCTGGACCATGGAAATTCACCCTTTTCCTGGATAGATAGTGACTTGTGCTTATGCTTGGAAGCACTAGCACCACTTTCTCTGCTTCATGGTCTCTTTGAAGACATATTGAGGGGTTAAATGTCGTACAGTAGCTTCTCATATTTCGCGAGTTTTTATTTCAACGTTTTTTCTTTGAACACAAAAACAAAACAATTTAAAATTTTGACGGCGGAAACTCGAATTTCGACGGGTTTGAACGGCCCACCAACGTTCAGACGATGTGCACAATCATGTAAACAGCGTCATTTCTCTTATGTACAAAAGATTCATTATTGTTTATTACTGAATGTCTTTTTGATTGAATTAATGTTTATGTGTGCAAAATGGGCAATACAATTCATTAATAATACGTAGAAAATTAAAACACACGAGGAAATGACACAGCATTGTTTTCGTAATGCTTACAAAACCAGTAACTAATTGGTTCTACATATAAAACTGAAGAAAATAAGACCCTGATTGTAGCTGTAGCAAAATTAATGTAAAAAAATTAATATGGTTGTTTGAAGTACCTGTAATGTTATTTAATGTTAATAAATGGAACAATATAAGTAGCTGACCATTAATGGTAAAAAAAAGTGAGACTGCGTGTATGTAAGTGGGCACATGTGAAAACATATCATCATTACTCTACATAAGAAAATGAAAGCAATACTTATTTAATGCTCATATGTATTGAAGGGTTAAATGTTGTACTCTGTATAGACAAATAGAGAGAGACAGAGAGAGCAGCCGAACTGCCGGATGTAAACAAACCTTAATTCCCCGCGGCTTTGTTGTTATTGTTTTTTATGGGGATTAGCCCACCCAGGTATAGGTCACTCACCCACATTGGGGCCTGAGGGGCAAAAATTTAATACTCCTGTAATAATAATAATAATTCAGATAAGTAAAAAAAAAAAAAAAAAAGCTGCCTATCTACCTATTGGACAAACTAAAATCGCGCCGAACCACGGGAGTTTCCGGACCACAGAATGCCGGACTGCAGAGGTACAACCTGTATAACCTTTTTCTTTTCTATTTTTAATTTCTTTCTGTTCTTATTTTTTCTCCCCCTAGGCCCCGTTGTGGGTCGTTCGACCTGTTTCCGGGTGGGCTTATTCCCGTAAAAAAAAAGAGGAAAAAAAAAGGGAGTATCATAGAGTTTAAGGGGGTAGTGTTGTGTTGTTCTGTGCTGGTGCTTTTTTTTTTTTAGAATAAAATTTGTGGGGATTCATAATGTTTGGTGATTGTTTATATACTACTTGTATGAAGATGCAGATGGTGTAAAGCTATATTTAATTTTCCAGACATCCTCACAGTTAGCAGTGAAAGTTGAAGGTGTTATTGGTCATGGTAAAAGACCAGGTCTTTTCCGATCTGTTCGCTCTGTCACCCTGACTGTAAATTCTGTTATTCAGAATCGTCCTCAGCACACACTGGATATGAAGGTGATTAAATTGTTGTATTGTATTCAATTGGTTTATATTTTTTATAATAAATATAAAGAACAGACAAGTGCTGTTGTCAAATTTGTTACCCAAGGCATAATATTTATTAACCAGTGGTCACTCAAGAGGCATTTGCTTACTAAAGAGCTTTGTTTCAAATCTCTTCTGGTTTATCATAAGTAAAGCTATAAAATTACTATACACTACTGTACTATATGTATTTCACATACTGTACTGTACCAAGTTCAATATTGTATTTGCCAAAACTTTTCATTCACAACATGTTTCATTGTTTCATGTCATTTGATAACTTTTTTTCTTTGGAATTTATCTCAGTTTTTATGACTGGAGTGCTATACAGGAATAACTCGCTATTCTCAACTCCACTTTTCCACAATTTATATTTTAGCACCCCTCTTTGATATTCGCAAAGCACACCCAGCTTATTCTCAAATGAAAAATTACAATGCCCTACAATAATACAGTAGACCCTTGCCATTCACGAGGGATAGGTTTCAAGAAATGGCATGAATTGGCAAAACCATGAATAGCCTACTGAGATAGTAGGCAGCTACCGAACAGGGAGGTACTACCGCCTGGGAAGATATTGGCAGCATAATGTGTTGTCTAATGGTAGACCCTGCTGCCATATGACATCACGAAAATTGTGACCAAGTCCCAGGTTGCTGATCTGACTTTCTACCTCATTTACACACAATTGTAGGGTCTCAATTGTTTCTATTACATGACAAAACATTATACATATAGCGTTTCTTACTGTTGATTTTTTTTCATTCTTGCATTTCTTTGTATTTATTACCACAGTGTTGTTATTATTATTATTATTACCGTATATCTCGGCTTATAAGATGGAATTTGAACATTAAAAAAATCTGCCCAAAGTTAGGGGGTCGTCTAAACCACCAAGTATAAAATTCTTACCTCTTAGATATTGTGGTTTAGTGTGTCAAGAGTGGTGATGGAAACATCGTAAGCCACTCACAATGTCCTACCACTAATTATTTTATACTGAAACTTACGTTTGGCAAGCTGGATTCAAATTAAGATTACCGGTATATTAAAATAATAAAAATGTATTATAAACCTGTCTAACATACCGTAAAAGAGAATTATACCCCTGTAATAAACACAGCTATCATCACACACCCCTCCCCATGCCCCCCCCATTTGCCAGTGAGGAGACAAGAAAGGGAAAGTGACCGCGAGATTGGGCTATTTTTAGCCGTGGAGGTGGTCAGTAATGCATATCGGTATATTTACTGATAATAATACTTAAAATTTATTTTTTTACAAGGAATATTCAGTAAATGACTACATTAATTCTTGAAACTACTGACAGTTAAATACAGACGCTTAAGTGACGTCACTAGTGTTTACACTACACCAGCTGGTAACATTTGATGCCATTACTTGAAGTGAATTGGCCTTATTTAAAGTAACTAACCATAAATAAATACAAAAAGTAAAAAAAAGATCAAAAGTGAGAAATAATATACTGTATGTATGTTGTGTTGTCAAAGTTAGAGGAACAATTCAAACTGCAATTGTGTGTAAATGAGGCAGAAAGTCAGGTCAGCGCTGAACCTGGGACTTGGTCACAATTTTCGTGATGCCATATGGCAGCAGGGTCTACCATTAGACAACACATTATGCTTCCAACATCTTCCCAGGCGGTAGTATCTACCTGTTTGGTAGCTGCCTGCTACCTACACAATTTTTAGTAATATTACTTTGATACATGATAAATTAGACAATGAAAATATACATCAAATTTAATTACCAAGACGCTTCCCATTGGCAGCTGTAAGAAGAGGGGGAGATGGGCTATTTTTATCCCGTCTTTGTGTCTGAAGTGGCCAGTAATACCATATATTTACTGATCATAATACTTATCTCCAATAAATAATTAATTTAAAATTTATTTTTTACATAGAATATTCAGTAAATGACTTTTAAATAAATAAACAAATAATTCAGTAAAACTATTTCAAGTAAATGTAAAATAAGCAAAGAAATGTTATTTACCACCACCCCTTCCCTCTGGCTCAGAGTGAGATGGAGGGGAGATAAAGAAGGCTATTTATAGCCCGTCTTTGTGTCTGAAGTGACCAGTACTCTAATGCACCATAAATAATTCATTTAACATTTATTTTTTGTACATATATTTTGTTGTATATATATATATATATATATATATATATGTATATATATATATATATATATATATATATACAGTCAACCCTCACTTTACGCGGTTAATGTAACCCGCAGGGTCCTGCGGAAAGTGAGGAACGCGTAAAGTGAATAACATAACATATGGGATTAATTGAAATAGAGCCCGGGCCGACCCCCAAACTCCACTTTTTGACGACACACAACTATGTTGTAGTAAAAATTTTATCTTAACTTTATGATGGTATGAAAAAACAAGTAATATAGAAGAGGTTAGGTTAGGAAAAATAAAGGTTAACATAGGAAAAATAAAGGTTAGGTTAGAAAAACTAAAAGTTAGGTGGAACACTTACGTTAGTAGAAGAGATGGGTCGGCATACGGGGATGGAGGCTGGTTCCGAGGCAGAGGGCAGATTACTGGCCCTCAGGTGAATCACCATTACTCGGTGAATCACCATCACTGTCACTTACAGTTGTCAGGGCTTCCCTGACAAATCCCTCAAAGTCATCTTCACTGTCATTATCACTGGCTTGGGCTGGCTGTCGTGGGTTGCGGGCGAAGAACTCGGTTATGCTTTTTTGACGGCTGGTGTTTATGTTGTCGTGATACACCGTGATGTACAGCTCCATAGCCTGCACCAGCCGGGTATGGAAGACTTCATAGCGGTCATCGTCATTGTCGCGGGAAAGGAAGGACTTCATTTTCTCTGCACACTCCATGGCACCCTTAATATCACTATGAGTTAAACTGTGTTCTTTGGAGAATGACGCACCTTCTTCCTCCTCTTCACTAACGTGATCTCCTTCCAACATCTCGTCGTCAGTCACTTCAGGATCTCTGATCACCTCCAGGATGTCGTCGTTGGTGGTCTCGGAGAAGCCTGGAACTGTAACAGTCTGCGCAGCTTCTCTGGCAAGATCCACTGCTACTGCAACAGTCTGAACCTCACCAGTCACAGATTGACTCCTCCTCTCACCTGGTATTCCATGCAACACATGTCTCCATGCGTGACGAATTGTAGCAATAGACAGCTGATCCCATGACTCCACCAAGAAGTCCACAGCTTTCTTGATGTTAAATACTCTCCAGAATTGTTTGAACAGTATTTTTTGCTGTGCCAACTGTTGATCCTCATCTTCTTCGCTCTTGCTATCAGTGGTGGTGTCACTCAGGTTATGCAACTCTTCCCTGGTGTTGGTGTAGTCGTTTAGGAGTTTGAATTTTTTTGTTGAGAATGCAGCTTTTACATTACAGATTAACTCTTGGTCCATGGGCTGTAATATAGACGTAGTGTTGGGAGGAAGGAAGACCACTTTTACGTTGGGGTGACGATCTAACAGTAGGGGCGAGTGTCCTGGTGCGTTGTCCAGCAGCAACAAAATCTTGAATGGCACATTCTGTCGCTCACAGAATTTCTTTACATCAGGAACAAAACAGTCATCAAACCAGGAGAGGGACAGTGTAGAGAACATCCACGCCTTACGTGCGGTCAGCCAGTGGACATTTAGGTTGGTCATGTCCATGGTTTTGTAGGCGTGCGGCTTGCGTGCTGTGTGGATCACCGATAACTTGAGCTTACAGGTACCGGAGGCATTGGTGGTAAACAGGACGGTGATGCGTTCCTTCTGCATCTTCCGGCCCCGAATCCTGCTGACATTCTTTACAACGAATGACTTGGAAGGTAGCTTTTTCCAGAAAAGACCAGATTCGTCCATGTTAAACACCTGGTCGTCGGTGTACTGTCCTTCCTCCATAATCTCACGTAAAAACGGAGGAAATTCCCTAGCCGCAGCACGGTCAGCACTCGCTTCTTCACCACCAATGTTTATATTGGTGATCTTGTTCTGGATCTTAAACCTCTGTAACCACCCAGAGGAAGCATTAAAGGGTTTGGCCTGTGTAATTCCCATCTTTCGTGCCACTGCGATGTACAGTTCACGTGCGTAGTCCTTAACAGAGCGCGTGTCGACCGCCATGTTCCGTCGCGCCTGACGCACCAAGTACCTCACAAGTAATTTTTCTGTCTTGAGAAGCACCTGGTTGTGAAAATACTTGATCATAGAAGCACCTGTAGACTTTGTGATCTTCATGTGCTCCTTTATCTTGGCTGCATCCTTCTTTATTGTTCGAATCGTAGATTCATTCACACCATGCTGGCACGCCAAATCAACCTGCCTTGTTCCTTTCTCCATCTCTTGGATGATGGTATACTTCACCTCGTAGCTTAAGGAACGTCGTGTCTTCTTTGGCTTAGTGCCGCTGGGTCCAGGTAAGGAAAGGTTTCTCTCTGGGGATGGTGGTCCGGCGGAAGCCATTTTACTGAACAATGGATGCACGATTACACGGTGTGGCCTTGAGGGATGAAACTGCCTCGGCTAGGTCAAGCGTCGTCTTTCCTCCCTCCCTCCCACCCCCGGGTGGACACGTCATAATACTTTAAGCCAATTACAGCTAGCAGCAGAGGGGGGTAGGGATGCATGGCCAATCACAGTCCGATACGTCATATGACGTCAGTGATAACGCAACAAAGACACACACTGCGCAACCTTACCGCGTGGCTTGCCCAAGCGGAGGGAGGAGGAGGGAGGGCGAGAGCACAGGCAGGCAGGCGGGCAGGTGGGGCGAATCTAAAAATAGCGTCGCGCCGGACACTCTCCGCGTAATGGGGTTCACGCACCGCGTAATGTGAGCACGTTAGGTTCTGGCAAGGCACCGCGTTAACGTGGAAACGCGGAATGTGGGACCGCGTAAAGTGAGGGTTAACTGTATATGAGAAATCGCGTTAAGTGAAACCGCGTAAAGCGGGGTAATACTGTATCTGTGTATATATATATATATATATATATATATATATATATATATATATATATATATATATATATATATATATATATATATATATATATATATATATATATATATATATATATATATATATGATGATCGTTTTGAATATAAACATCATGGATTTTGCATTAGACATACAAATTTTAGATCTAATGTAATAATTTGGTTTACGCAAAGCAAATATTTTATCGTTTGTGCAAAATATATGAAGTTTACATTCAAAATATTCCCTGGCCTGCAAGGAATCTAGAAATGTCAATTATATTATCCTAACTTTAGTCTGGGTTATTATTTATTACTAAAAATGTAAATATACTATTTTCTCCCAATCGCTTCTCTGGTAGGGAGGGAAGGTGGGGGGTAGGAAGGGAGGGAGGGTGGAGGTGGGGTATTTTGATCGACAGATAGTGTCTTTGAAGAATATTTCTTTGTTTATTTACTGAAGATATTTGTTTTAGCTCATAAAATTCATACAAATTACCCGGCCAGAATATAATTTACATTGCTGGAATTCTTACAATATGATGATCATTTTGAATATAAACATCATGGATTTTGCATTAGACATAGAAATTTTAGATCTAATGTAATAATTTGGTTTACACAAAGCAAATATTTTATCTTTTGTGCAAAATATATGAAGTTTACATTCAAAATATTCCCTGACCTGCAAGGAATCCAGAAATGTCAATTATATTATCCTAACTTTAGTCTTGGGTATTATTTATTACTAAATGTTAAAATCTAGTGTTTTCACCCAACATTTCTCTGGTAGGGAGGGATGGTGGGGGGTGGGGGGGGAGGGTTGGGACCGACCGACCAGCTGGCGTGAGTGTGAGGAGGGGGGGGTGAGGCAATGTGGGGTACTTTGATTGACAGATAGTGTCGTGAAGAATATTTTTTTTTTTATTAACTGAAGATATTTGTTTTAGCTCATAAAATTCATACAAATTACTCGGCCAGAATATAATTTACATTGCTGGAATTCTTACAATATGATGATCATTTTGAATATAAACATCATGAATTTTGCATTAGACATACAAATTTTAGATCTAATTTAATAATTTGGTTTACACAAAGCAAATATTTTATCTTTTATCCAAATTATATGAAGTTTACATTCAAAATATTCCCTGACCTGCAAGGAATCCAGAAATGTCAATTATATTATCCTAACTTTAGTCTGAGGTATTATTTATCGTGATTAGCTTGAATTTACACATGCTATAGTTTGCATTAGACATACAAATTTTAGTTTTAATTAATTTTATTACAGAGGGCTAAAATTTTTATCTCTTGTGCAAAATATATGACTTTTATATTCAAATTATTCGCTGTCTTGCAAGGATTCCAGAATGTAAATTTTATTCTCCTAACTTTAGTCTGTGATATTATATAAGATAAAAACTGTAAGCCTATAACCACCCAACCCTGGCTGGGAAGATCTCCAGTCTCCCACATGTAGTGATACTATTCCCAACTGTTAATGTGGAAATTTTTTCTTTTGTTTTATTTGCATAATTGTTATTTTTTCCTCACATTTACTAGTATTACAGTACTATACATGCAACCCTGATCCCTAATAGGTTCGAATAATGACGAGTATTCAGTATATCGAAAAATATGTGGTGAAAGTTGCCGGCTGGCAACACACTCCCCTATTTACATTAATTCTTTTGGAGAAAATTGCTCCGATATTTGCAATAACTTTCAATAACTTTCAATAACTTTTAGGAATGCATTCCTTGGAATAACCGGGGTATTCCTGTACAGTATATGGAAAATTGTACTCCAGTTTTCAAAAAATAAATTTACGAAAACTGTTTGAGAGCAAAACTCTTAAATAAATTGAGGAATGCCTTAATAAAATACAGTTGTCAGATGTTTACATATTCACCTTCTCATAGCCATTTTCCATCCTAGTGTGGGTTAACCATAATCACCTTATGGCAGCTCTCAGTGATAGTGATGCAGTGTGTCTTGCAGCCTTTTTCATCAGGTTCTTAACTTTCTTCGTATCATCTTGGCCTACCTCTAGGTTTCCTTCCCTCCTTATCTAGAATCGTGCATCTCTTGGCCAAGTTTGTCTCATCCATTCCAAAACCATATTACTGCCATACAACATCACACTTCTCATACCTGTTGCCATTCACTCAAGGGTCCTTTTGCTGTCAGCAAAGGTAGTCACACCCTGAACTTCCTATGTCACTTGATACTGCTTCTAAAAACTGAGTAGGTTTAATACTACTTCCAGGACTGCACACATCACTCATGTAGAACTAATTGATGCAGTCCAGTTATACCTCTAGGTTGAATGTCTAGAGGATGGGGATGGCCCAATTCAGCGCCGCCAATTCAGCGCCGCCGTTTCAGCGCCGCCGTTTCAGCGCCAGCCCATTTCAGCGCCAGACTATTCAGCGCCGAGACCTTTCAGCGCCTGTGCGTTCCGTTCAACTCAGAAGCTATCTGTCTTTCATTAACGTGGTATAACACTGTATACTACACTTGATTTATATTATGTTGTATTCAACTTATTAATATTTGGTTAGGTTAGGTTAGGTTAGGTTAGGTTAAATCAACCAATCCAATAAATATGTATGATTCTTTGAAGAAATTATTGATTTGGTGGCGCTGAAACGGTGGCACTGAATAGTCTGGCGCTGAAATGGGCTGGCGCTGAAACGGCGGCGCTGAAACGGCGGCGCTGAAACGGCGGCGCTGAATCGTACCCTACCCCAAGAGGATGGCTAAAATCTAATTTTTTTTATTGTTGCAGATTGAGCCAAATGAGATGCTGACACAGACAGTAGAGCCACACAATGATTTCTTTGCTGCACAATTCCTGCTTGGCTTCCCTGTTCCAGGCCTTTATCAGGTAAATATAATGATGCACTATGACATTAACCTTCTTGCACATCAGTGGATTCAAACAATGTCAACACGTGTTTTTCAAAGTTAAACTAGCTGTAAATAAAGAATATTTTCTTTAAAATAACACTGCACTGCGCTATATATTGTCAATATGTAAAATAAATTTCAAAATGACCAATAATTTGCTTGGAAACACAGAAAAAAAGCGTTTAGTTGAAGAGAGTCTCAAGCAAGATGTTACCTCCAGTGAAAACAGAGAGAGACTAACGCCGGTTTGCTGTGTTAAGAGGCTGGATGCCGCGCATTAAACTAGTCACTTTACCTTCAATTATGTTCAATAATTGTGAAAATGACTAAAAAATTGAATATTAAACTTTTAAAATTATTGAATAGTATAAACTTCTTGATATTTATTAAAATAGTAAGGAATTTAAGCCCTAGAACCGATTAATGTATTGGCGGACTGATACTAAAGCTGGTTGCCCGGTCAGTGCAAGCAAAAACATGTTGAGGTCAGTTCGTAAGAAATTCGTTAACCGAATTTTTGTTCGTTAACCGAATTGAAGATCCTTATGGAAGGCAGTTCGTTAACCGAAATTTCGTTAACCGAGGCGTTCGTTAAACGAGGGGTCACTGTATTTGCGAATCCGTGAATGCTAAACCCGCGTATGTGAAGGGCCGACTGTACAGTAATTGGTTCTATGTTTACATTCGTTTCCAGTTGAGTAAATATCAAGAAAGTTGTGCTTTTGAATATTTTTTTCATTTTTTATATTAAAATTATTGGTCATTCTAATTTAGTTAACATATTGAAAAAAATATATTACAGTACAGGGAACAGTTTTTGTGTGCCCATCAGCTGATCGAATCACCCACCAACGCTTCTCAGTTTAACTTTGTTTACAGTGGAGTGAACATCCTGTTTGTTGGTCTCTTGAATATTTTTGCATTTTTACGTTAAAATTATTGGTCATTCTGAAATTTAGTTCATGTATTGATAATATACAGTGCAGAAATTATTATGAAACATGAAGAAGGCATTAGAACCTATGCACTCTGTAAAGAAAATGGCATGTCATCATCGACTGCCTCTACAATCAGCTGTTTGATATGTAAACAAAGCTGCCGGGAATACAACATACACACCTCAAAGTAAGTTAAAGTACAGTACAATATTCTATTGTTTTTTATTTATTATTATACAGCATACTGTACAGTAGAGTACTGTACACCTAGACCCCGACTTACGACTATATGGACTTACGTCCATTGGTACTTACGACCTGCTTTGACCGTACGTCCATACGGGACATACGACTGCGACCGCCGTGACCAAAATTTTTTTCAAATGACGTGCGCATTTTCTATACCGAAACGTTTCCGTCCCGGGCGAGAGGGAGGGGTGGCTTGGGTCGCCTCGTGGCTACACTCACTCAGTGGAGCGCTTTGTTTGTGTTTGGCTATCGTATCCTATACTGATCGCGCTGTGAACTTTCGTTATTATTGTATTTAATTGACTTTATAATGACTGGAAAGCGTAAAAGTGAGAGTGCTGGTGGTACTCCAAGGAAAAGGAGACAGGCAATTACTTTTGAGATGAAACTGAAGATAATAACACAGTATGAGAATGGAAAAACAGTAGCAACGATCTCACGCGACCTAGGTTTCTCACACTCGACTATATCCACTATTCTGAAGGACAAGGAACGTATTCGTGAAGTAGTGAAAGGAACAACACCTATAAAGGGAACTATAATAACAAAGAAAAGACAAGGTCCTATCCACGATATGGAAAAATTATTGGTGATATGGATAGAAGACCAGATGCAGAAGCGTGTACCCTTAAGTGTTCTAACCATACAGGCTAAAGCAAGAAGCCTGTTCCAAAGCCTGAAGGAGCAGGCAGGAGATGAATGTGATCAAACCTTTACAGGAAGTCAAGGGTGGTTTGATAGATTTAAAAAACGCTACAGTCTACACAGTGTTAAGGTGAGTGGAGAGGCAGCTAGTGCCGATGTTGGTGCTGCCGAAGCTTTTAAGGAGGAGTTAGATGATGTGATTGTGGAAGGGAATTATTTGCCAGAGCAAATATTCAATGTGGATGAGACTCGATTATTGTGGAAACGCATGCCTGACCGGACATACATCCACAAAGAGGCAAAAAAAATGCCCGGATTCAAGGCATTCAAGGACAGAATTACACTTCTGTTGGGGGGGAATGTTGCTGGTTTCAAGCTAAAGCCCTTCATGTCAGCAAGCACACACTGCCAGTGTTTTATCGCATTAACAAGAAAGCCTGGATGACCCTAGTACTATTTGAGGATTGGTTCATGACTTGTTTCATTCCACGAGCCAAGGAGTATTGTCTGCAACAAAGGATTCCATTCAAGATTTTACTGATTTTGGATAATGCTCCGGGACACCCACCACACCTGGACGACATGCACCCTGATGTTAAGGTAGTGTACATGCCACCTAACACTACCTCTATCATCCAACCCATGGATCAAGGTGCTATTTCTGCCTTTAAAGCGTATTATTTACGCACGACCTTCGCTCAGGCTGTTGCTGCTACTGAAGGTGAGAAAACGCTCAGACAGTTTTGGAAGGAGTACAACATTTTGTCATGTATAAAGAACATTAGTGCAGCATGGGATCAGGTTACAAAACATTGCATGAATGGAATATGGAAGAAAATCCTGAAAAGATATGTGAACAGTTTCAAAGGATTTAATGAAAGTGAAGTTATTTTGGATATTAGTAACAAGATAGTGGAGTTAGGTAAACAGCTGGAGTTAGAAATTGATACTGAAGATGTTGGACAGTTGGTTGAAAGTGTAGCAGAAGAACTCAGTAACGAGGATCTTATTGAACTAGATGCACAGAAAGTTGCAGAGGAAGAAGAGAGACAAAATGTAGAAGAAGAGCCTGCACCCCCAAAAAGTTTTCAGTGAAACATATGGCAGAGGCATTTGCTACAATTAATAAAGCAATGCAAATGTTTGATGACATGGATCAAAATTATGAGCGTTATGCCAAAGTTGACAGAATGATCCAAGATTCACTTGCTTGCTACAGAGAAATTTATAATGAAAAGAAAAAGAAAACTGTGCAGTCTAAATTGGACACCTATTTCAAGAAGTCCCCCAGTACTGGCTCCTCACGCCCCACCAGTGCTGCCTCTTCACTCCCTCAAGATGATCCAATACCTTCAACCAGCAAGTTACCACAGTACATAAACCTGTCTGAAGGAAGCGACATTGATGACCCACCCAGCCCTGTCTCCTCTTCTGCTTCTTCCAATTAATATAGTCTCCATGTATCCTGTAAATAGAAAATTATGGGGGCCCCGTGTGCATTCAGCTGACTACATTTAAGGTAAGTGCTCAGTCACACTGTATCCATTCCTCATTATTTATTACTTTTACTGTACTGTATCCATTCCTCATTATTTTTTACGTTTAGTGTACTGTATTTCATTGTAGATTTTTAAAAAAAATTTGAAAAAAAAAAAATTTTGAATTTTTTTTTTTGAAAATTTTTTATTTTTTATTTTTATCTATATCGGACTTACGACCATATCGGACTTACGACCTGGATTTGGGTCCCTAACCCCGTCGTAAGTCGGGGTCTAGGTGTATTTAGTTTATATTTAATGTTTTGTTAATTCTATTACCGGTATACAGTACTTTGTATGTACTTTTTCTGTGAGTTGGAACCAATTACCCAATATCCCATTGAAATAATGGATTCAGTTAACAAAATTTTTGGTTAACGAACGACTCTGTGGAACCATTTGTGTTCGTTAATTGAGGGACCACTGTACTGTATTTCAAATACTTTTTTATATTCATATATAACTACTGTAGTTTGAACATTCAGGATAAGTCTTTCGGGTGCCTACCCACACCCGAGGACTTATCCCGAATGTTCCAATAATAATTTCAGATTACTAAATAGTATCCCGAACCGAATCGCGTATACAGTAGACTCGTAACTTTCGTGAGGGTTAAGTTCCTGGGACCTCACTTGTGGGGGTACGTAATATTGGTTCACACTCAGGATGGGATGGAGAAAGGAAACTCACAATGTGCTCTCTGTATACATATTGTATGGATGTACAATGCAGCTTGGTGCTGGGAAGGCAGCATGGTTACAAGTGTTGAGTAGAGAGAGCTGGTTGGTGAGGGTGCTCAGAGGAGGACCAGCTTGTGGGTCGCCATGCTCGCCGGCAGGAGCGAGGGCCGCCAGGCAAGAGCAGAGGAGGTGGTGTTGAGAGATGTTGCTTGCTGGTGGCGGTATGTAGAAAGAGATTGGTCACCACGAGGTGAGGTCTTATATAGCGGGGGTAGGCGTGGCTTAATAGTTGACCTCAGTCATGTAAGGCGGCGCTGGTTGCTGACCTAGACCACGAGGGCAGGCTGGTGAAATCGTGGGGTCGGCTACTCAGCGACAAAAGCGTCTGTAGGGGAAGAATCCACTACACACTCCTAAAAATCCCCTAAATCGCCCTTAGATCACTATATATACACATGCTCACTAGAACTCTTAAATCATTACTGTAATGTAATACAGGTCCACAATCCCTTATCCCTTATTATTTTGAGGTGTGTAATGTCTACATTCAAATTATTTGCTGTCTTGAAAGGATTCTAGCAATGCAAATTATATTCTCCTAACTTTAGTCTGTGACATTTTATAAGATAATTTTTTTTAAGCCTAAAACTACCTTCACACCTTCACCCCTGGGAAGAGAGAGGTGATGTGTTGACAGCCAGGCAGGGGAGAGGAGTGGGGGGTGAGGTGAGATATTCATCAGCCAGGGGGGGGAGGGGGGGACATTAATCCCGTGTGTCTTATCTGTCATATAGAAGAGTATAAGTTTTTCGCTTATAAAATGTCATTGCTGGGATTCTTGTAAGACAGTGATTAATTTGAATATAAACATGCTATAGTTTGCACTAGACATAAAAATCTTAGAAATTATTTAGTACATTTGAGTATAGTACAGGTTTGCCCTTAGGACAATTATTTCTTTTACTTTTTTTTTTTAGGATGGTGTGTGCATGTAAAGGAGTAAAAATAAATTAAGAAAATTATGTATATCAAGCAGGGTGGAGTGTTTTGCGGGCTAGCGTTTGGCGCTCTGACGATCCATTGTGAGAATTTTGAGCTTGAAATTGGAAATTGTAACCTAATCCCGGGGTAATCCGCGTATAGTTGAAACCGCTTAAGAAAAATACACATAAGTTGCTAGTGTACTGTATTTGGTTTAAAACAATGAATTACAGCTCAGAGGATGCTTTTGGGTTAATAATAAGTAACCCGAGTGTGTAAAAAAAATGGCCGTCTGAGTGTTACTGGGTGGCAAATGCAACACTGGGCTACACAACTACGTGCTATCTCCATGGATATTATTCTTTGTTTAGGATATTTTTTTTTTCATATTTTCCCCTCATTTATCATTCATTTCAATAAGTGGTCAGTTTCTCAGGATTGCATCTTGATCACTAAGTGAGGGATACCAGTAAGGCATAAAAACTTTGTGCTAGTTGTATCAGAAAATTATGGTTTCTAAAAATTTCAGAAATCACAAAACTTTATTGACACACTTAGGTATTGTTCCAAGAGGTCACAACATTCTCTGGCAGGCTATTACAACAATTAATGGAATTATTTTGATATCAACACTTGATTGTGAAGAAATTTTGCTGTACTGTACGCCCAGATAATTCGCGGATATTAATTTCGTGGTCCCCTATTATTCGCGGAAGACACCCTGGATGTATCCAAGAATGTCTGCGGGTGGTTTTAAAGTTTCTGGCATTTTTGCAGCCGGGACAGGGAGCCATTCATTCTAGAGACAGTAATTTCCTTTACCTGTATTGTATATATGTGTGTGTATGTCTACACACACTCGCATACACATATATATAATACAGGTTGTACCTCTCTAGTCCGGCATTCTGTGGTCCGGAACGATTTTAGTTTGTCCAATTGGTAGATAGGCAGCTTTTTTTTTTTTTTTTTTACTTATCTGAAATATTATTATTATTACAGGAGTATTAAATTTTTGCCCCTCAGGTCCTAATGTGGGTCAGTGACCTATGCCCGGGTGGGCTAATCCCCTTAAAAAAAAATAAGCCGCGGGAAATTAAGGTTTGTTTACATCCGGCAGTTCAACTGCTCTCTCACTCTCTCTCTCTGCTTGTCTATACAGAGTACAACATTTAACCCTTCAATATATATGAGCAGTAAATAAGTGTTGCTTTCATATTCTTATGTAGAGTAATGAAGATATGTTTTCACATGTGCGCACTTACATACAAGCAGTCTCACTTTTTTTTTTACCATTAATGGTTAGCTACTTATATTGTTCCATTTATTAACATTAAATAACATTACAGGTACTTCAAGCAACCATATTCATTTTTTACATTAATTTTACTACAGCTAAACTCAGGGTTTATTTTCTTCAGTTTTATATGTAGAACCAATCAGTCACTGGTTTCGTAAGCTTTAACATAAACAATGCCGGCAGCTGTCTCGTCTCCTCTAATATTCCACGTATTATTAATAAATTGTATTGTTAATTTTGCACACACGTACATTAATTCAATAAAAACAATTCAGAAACATTAATTAAAATATATATGAACAGTAAATAAGTGTTGCTTTCATATTCTTATGTAAAGTAATGACGATATGTTTTCACGTGTGCGCATGCGCACTTACATATGCGATCTCTCTTTTTCTTTACCATTATCGTTAGCTACTTCTATTGTTCCATTTATTAACATTAAATAACATTACTTAAAACAACCATATTAATTTTACTACAGCTACACCCAAGGTCTTATTTTCTTCAGTTTTATATGTAGAACCAGTCAGTCACTGGTTTTGTAATCAACGAAAACAATGCTGTGCCATTTCCTCATGTGTTTTAATTTTCTACGTATTATTAATGAATTGTATTGCTCATTTTGCACATATAAACATTAATTCAATAAAAAAGACATTCAGTAATAAACAATAATGAATCTTTTGTACATAAGAGAAATGACGCTGTTTACACGATTATGCACGTCGTCTGCACGTTGGCGGGCCGTTCAAACCCGTCGAAATTCAAGTTTCCGCCGTCAAAATTTTTATTTATTTATTTTTTTGTGTTCCAATAAAATACGTTAAGAATTAAAAACTCGCGAAATTTGAGAAGCTACTATACGACATTTAACCCTTCAATATGTGTTCAAAGAGACCATGACGCAGAGAAAGTGGTGCTAGTGCTTCCAGGCATAAGCACAAGTCACTATCTATCCAGGAAAAGGGTGAATTTCCATGGTCCGGCACCGGTCAGGTCCCGAGGTTGCCGGACTAGAGAGGTACAACCTGTACAGGTAAAAGAAATATTTGTCCAAAGGGCAAACACATCAGGGGAATATACGTACATTTCTTTGTACACAAGTAAAATGTACCCCCCCATTCAGCAAATGTTATTCGCGGATTTGGTGATTCACGGCCATTTTGAAAAATTAACCCCCACGAATTTGAAGGGCATGCTGTACTGCACTTCAGTCTTCAATTAAATTTTAGGTTATAATAATCCTATAAAATACAGTACTTTAACAATAGCCTGCTATTTCCCCTTCTTGTGTGATTTAGGTGAGTGTGGACACATCAGTCACAGATGATTCAGATGATGCCTGGCAGACAGGACCCCGCCACACACTTACTGTCAAATCACAAGAGGACCCAGCTAGCAAGGCAAGTGTCTCACAAGCTCCACGCCAGGTTCCTCCCAGCCAGTATGCACCTTCCAGTTCTCAAGGAGCACCAGGACCTCCTCCAGGAGTTAGTGTTTTACCTCCTGTTCCTCCAGGCACTAATCCTCCACCTGTTCCACAAATTTCTCAATTCAACATGCCAAGACCAGGACATTGAATGCTGTGACTTTGATTATTTTAAAACTAAAAATAATTCCAATCTAATTAAATTTATGAACAAATGTACTGAAACAAAACAATTAACTAATGTACTTCAGATACTGAATAAATATTACATGTATTATTTATATTATTAATAGCTACCCATTATCTTTATATTATACTCATTGTTATAGTGTTACGCAGGAGTGATGCTTTCATAGTTATGTGTACGGATACAAGAAAACTCAAGAGAAAGAAACAATGCTTTCACTTGTAATAAATAGCCTTTGGTAACATATAGGCAATAGTACAGTAAACCCTCGATAACTCGGCCTTCCATATAACTTGGCATGGATATGGTCACGGAATGTATTAGTATAACTCGAGAAATGCCGAGATATATAAAATTATCGGGGAAAATCTCGGCATATCAGGCCACCTGCATCACCTACCATGCCTCTGTGTCACCTACCATACCTCTGTGTCACCTACCGAGCATCTGTGTCACCTACTTCAGTATGCTTCATTCTTCACCTGCAGTGATGGTAAGTGTCACTTTTATACATTTAGTAATTACATGTACAGTTCACACATATATGGGTCAACAATTTTTTATTGTTGTATTTTTGTAGGATGGGGAAAGTGCCTCGATAAGTCGGAATTTGGGATAACTCGGCAAGGCCAGAGCCCAGTATGTGCCGAGTTATCAAGGGTTTACTGTACTAATGTAAATGTTGGCTATTCACATGTATTTATTACAGGTTGGGTAATGGGTATCCCATATCTGAAATTCCCAAGTCCAAAATGCTCTGAAATCCAAGTCTATTTCATTATATCTATGGTAGATAATACACTGAATATGGCATATATCATAATTTTTATGAGGGTAAGTATGTATGTGTAATGAATAAAGGTAAGACATAGGCTGCTTTTTTTTTCTTTATCTTTTTTTACGGGGATTGGCCCACCGGGGCACAGGTCAACGACCCACATCGGGCCCCTGGGGGCGGAAAAAAAAGAGAGAAATTAAAGATAGAAAAGGAAAAGGTTATGTTAATCTACACCACGAAGATTCCGGAAAACCAGCTTTTTAAAGTGAGACATTGTATGAGTGTGGAAACACAGAAGGCAGAGCATTCCACTGTTTGGCTGTGTGAGGAAAAAAGGATGTACTATAATGGGTTATTCTAGTGTGACTGACATCCACAGAGAAATGGTGGGCACCGCGGGCAAGACGTGTGTTGCGAGCCCACGGCCTTGCCGGCAATATACAGGACGCCAAATCCACCGAACATTGCCTGTTAAAGTACCTGTAAAAGAGAGAGAGAGTGAAGCAATATTGCAGCAAAGAGAAAGGGAAGAAAGATTGTCAACTAAAGGAGGAGCGTTAATAAGACGAAATGCCTCGAGTTAGGGCCCCATCCCTGTTGGGTGAGCTACCCCATTATACATGATATACGTATTCCCAACACTGAAAATATCCCAAATCCGAAACCCTTAAGGCCCCAAGAATTTCGGATAAAGGATACCCAACCTGTGTATATGAGTAATTTACAGTGCCTGAATTACCCGGTAACTAAGCACAGTTGTAAAAAGTACCGTACTTGGATTCTTAAGTAAAAGTATTGTTACATTGGCAAAATATTACTCAAGTAGAAGTAAAAAAGTTCAGACCCCCCTACCAAAAAAAATCGCGGGGGTTAGGTTCTCAAAATGGCCGCGAATAACATTTGCGGATGGGGGGAGGGACATTTTTACTTGTGTACAAAGAAATGTATATTCCCTTTATGTGTTTGCCTTAGGACAATTACAGGTAGTCCTCGACTTACGACCTACTTGACCTACGACCTACTTGACCTACGACCATCCGGACATACAACCGCCTCAGTCATACCAAAAAATTTTCAAACTCTGTATGTATTTGCTAGGACCGAAATGTTTCCGTCTCGTACGAGAGAGTCGCGTGGGCTGGGTCGCCTCGTGGTGTACAGCGACCACGCCGTAGCACGCTCAGTTGGTGTTTGGCCATTGTTGTTGTCGGTAGTGATCGCGCTGTGTACTGACAATATTTTTTTTTCTAATTCCCTTTAGAATGACTGGCAAGCATAAAAGTGAGAGTGCTGGTGGTGCTAGGAAGAAAAGGAGACAGTCAATTACTTTTGAGATGAAAATGAAAATAATAATGCAATATGAAAATGGAAAAACGGTAGCAACCATTTCACGCGATCTTGGCTTCTCTCACTCGACGATATCGACAATTTTGAGGGACAAGGAACGAATTCATGGGGTAGTGAAAGGATCAGCACCTGTAAAGGGAACAATAATAACGAAAAAAAGATAAGGTTCTATTCATGAGATGGAAGATCATTTTTTTTTTTTTTTTTTTACGAGATTAGCCCACCCAAGGCACAGGTCACTAACCCATATCAGTGCCTGGAGGGCAAAAATATAATAATAATAATAACTACAGTTGTACCCCGCTTAACGCGGTTTCACTTAACTCGATTTCTCATATACGCGGTGCCTCGCCAGAACCGAACTTTCACTTAACGCGGTTCATCTACCCATATACGCGCAGAGTGTCCGGTTCGAGACGTTATTTTTAAATTCGCCCCACCCGCCACCCGCTGCCGCCTGCCTCGCCTCTCCCTTCTCCTCCTCCTCCCTCCCTCCCCTCCCGCCTGGGCAAGCCGCGCTGTAAGGTTGCGTAGTGTGTGTCTTTGTTGCGTTATCACTGACGTCATATGACATATCGGACTGTGATTGGCCATGCATCCCTACCCCCTCTGCTGCTAGCTGTAATTGGTTTAAAGTAATATGACGTGTCCACCCGGGGAGGGAGAGAGGGAGGAAAGAGGACGCTGCCGCGCTAGTTTCATCCCTCCAGGCCACACCGTGTATATGTGCATCCATTGTTCTGTGAAATGGCTTCCGCCGGACCACCACCGCCACCAGAGACAAACCTTTCCTTACCTGGACCCAGCCGCCCTAAGCCCAAGAAGACACGCCGTGGCCTAAGCTACAAAGTGAAATACCAGATCATTCAAGATTTGGAGAAAGGAACACGCCGTTATTCTCACGCTACTAAAGTATATATACAACGAACGCCATTCAGATACAAGTATGATGCAGCCAAGATTAAAGAACACATGAAAATCAAGCAAAGTCTGCAGGCGCTTCAATGATCAAGTATTGCCAAACAGGGTGCTGTAAAGGCGGGAAAATTTACAGAGTTATTTGATCTGGCTACGGACGTTAGTCGATGGCGGTGGACACGCCGCCACGCAGAAAGGCCACGGAACTTTACGAGAAATAAAGAGCAAGGGAATCAGTGAGCCCAAACCTTCAAATGCTTCTCTGGTTACGAAGGGTTAAGAAGAGGAACAAGATCACCATCATCAACATTGGTGGTGAGGAAGGAAAAGGACCGTATAAGCAGAGATTTTCCTCCGTTTCACGGAGGTTGGTAGGAAGCGACAGTATGACTGACGACTCAGGAAGTTTAATACGGACTTAATCTGGTCTTTTCTGGAAAGTTACCTTCCAAGACCTTCAAGTATCCAGTCTGCCAGCAAGGGGCTGAAGTTGCAGAAGGAACGATCACCGTCTTCTTTACCACCAATGCCTGTGCCCCGTAAACCAAAGTTATCGGTGATTCAATACAGTTCCAAAACTCAGACGCTTGAGCAAGAATATGGACATGAACAAGCTTAATGTCCATCATTAACCGCACGAAGGCGGATACGTCCTCTTCTGGTTTGAATTACTTGTTCCCAACGGGAAGAAATTCTGCATAGCAACAGAATGTTCCATTCAATATTTTGTTGCTCCCTTGACAACGCATCTGTGACACTCGCCTCTACTTATGGATCGTCACCCCCAACGTAAAGTGGTCTTCCTTTTCCTCCCAACACTACGCCATTAATCCAGCCTGGTGGACCAGGAAAGTTGATCTGCAATGAAAGCTGCATACTGCAAAGCAGTTCAAGCCCTGAATGACTCTCTACCAACACCAAGGATGAGTTGCGAAGCTGGGTGACACCGACAGCGAGAGTAAAAGCGACGAGGACAAGGAACAAGAGGTGGTGATCAAGCAGTTCCTTGCCAAACAGTTTTGGAAGAAGTTTAACGCCAAACAAGCTGTAGACTTTGGTGGAGTGCATGATCAGCTGTCTATTGCTACGCATTCACAAGTGCATGGAGACATGTGTTGCACATGGCATATCAGCTGAGAGGAGGAGCCCAACTGCACTGGTGAGGTTCAGACTGTTGCAGTAGCAGGACCTTGCCAGAGAAGCTGTAAAATAATATTACAGCTGAAGGCTTCCGAGACCACCTCAACGAAGACATCCTGGAGGTGATCAGGAGATTCCATGTGACTGCTGCATTTGAGATGTTGGAAGATGAGCACGCCAGTAGAAGAGGGAAGAAGGTAAAAATATTCAAGAACACAAGTTAAGTCATAGTGATATTAAGGGTGCCATGGAGTGTGTAGAAAAATGAAGTCCTTCCTTTCCTGCGACAATGACGATAATTGCTTATGAAGTCTTCCATACCCGCTGGTGCAGGCTATGGAGCCGCAGACATCACGGTGTATCACAACATTAACACTAGCCACAAAAAAGTATTACCAGTTCTTTCACCACAACCCACCACAGCCAGCCAGAGCTAGTGATAGTGACAGAAAGTGACTTTGAGGATTTGTCAGAAGCCCCACAACTGTGGGTGACAGTGATGCAGGATGCACCTAGTAATGGTGATTCACCTGGAGGGCCAGTAATCTGCCCTCTGCCTGCAAAATCCAGCCTCCATCCTCTCGCATGCCGACCCATCTCTCTCTTTCTACTAATTCTAAGTGTTCACAACATAACTTTTAGTTTTCCTAACTCAACCTTTGTTTTTCCTAACCCAATCTCTTCTATATTACTTGTTTGTTCATACCATCATGTTAAGATGTACCCTTTACCACAACATATTTGTGCGTCAGTCAAAAGTGGAGTTTGAGGGTCGGGCTGGGGCCCCTGCTGGAATTAATCCCATATGTTCTGTTGTTCACTTAATGCAAGTTTTTCACTTAACGTGTACCTGTGGGTTAAATTGAATCATGCTAAGCGGGTACTACTGTATTATTATTATTATAATAATTCAAAAATTAATAACAAAATACTAAAAATAAAAATAAAATACTAAAAATAATTATAATACAAAAGTGTGTGTCCTTAAACCTTCTAACCCTACAGGCTAAGGCAAGAAGCCTTTTCGAAAGCATGAAGGAGCAGGCAGGAGATGAGTGCGACCAAAACTTCACAACAAGTCATGGGTGGTTCCATAGGTTTAAGAAGCGTTACAGTTTGCATAGTGTAAAGGTGGGTGGAGAACAGCAAGTGCTGATGTGGGTGCTGCCGAAGCTTTTAATGAGGAGCTATATCATGTCATCGTGAATGGAAATTATTTGCCTGAGCAAATATTTAATGTGGATGAAACTGCATTATTCCAAGCGCATGCCAGAACGGACATAGATCCACAAAGAGGAGAAAAGCATGCCGGGATTCAAGGCATTCAAGGACCGAATCACATTTCTGTTGGGGAGTATGTAGCTGGTTTCAAGATAAAGCGCTTCATGATATATCATTCAGAGAACCCAAGGGCTTTTAAACATGTCAGCAAGCACACACTGCCAGTGTTTTATCACAGTAACAAGAAAGCATGGATGACCCTAGCAGTGTTTGAGGATTGGTTCCCGAGTTGTTTCATTCCACGAGCCAAGGAGTATTGTCTGCAACAAAGGGTTGCATTCAAGTTTTTAATAATTTTAGATAATGCTCCGGGACACCCACCACACTTGGACGACCTGCACCCTGATGTTAAGATAGTCTACCTTCCACCTAACACTACATACACTACCTCAATCATCCAACCCATGGATCAAGGTGCAATTGGACATATATATTAAGAAGTCCCCCACTGCTGTCTCCTCACGCCCCACCACTGCTGCCTCTTCACTCCTAAGATGATCCAATACCTTCAACAAGTATGTTAGCCTGTCTGAAGAAAGCAAAATTGATGACCCACCCTGCCCTGTCTCCTCCTCTGCTTCATCAGCTGACTATATTAAAGGTAAGTGCACAGTAACACTTTATTCATTCTTCATTATTGATTACTTTTACTGTACTGTATTTCATTTTAGAATTTCTATGTACGTACTGTATTATTTTAACGCTTTTTCAACTTACGACCTGGTTGTTGGGACGGAACCCCGTCGTAAGTCGAGGAAACCTGTAATATATATATATATATATATATATATATATATATATATATATATATATATATATATATATATATATATATATATATATATATATATATATATATATATATATATATATATATATATATATATATATATATATATATATATATATATATATATATATATATATATATATATATATATATATATATATATATATATATATATATATTACAGGCTTAAATTCCTTACTATTTTAGTAAATATCAAGAAGTTTATACTATTCAATAATTTTAAAAGTTTAATATTCAATTTTTTAGTCATTTTAACAATTATTGAACATAATTGAAAGTAAAGTGACTAGTTTAATCGCGGCATCAGCCTCTTAACACAGCAAACAGAGTTAGTCTCTCTCTGTTTTCACTGGAGGTAACATCTTGCTTGAGACTCTCTTCAACTAAACGCTTTTTTCTGTGTTTCCAAGATTGAGTCATTTTGAAATATATTTTACATATTGACAATATATAATGCAGTGCAGTATTGATTTAAAGAAAATAATCTTGAATTACACCAAAGAGCTAAAATTTTATGGGTGAAATGGTGCCATGGGGTGACTTCTCTTCCACCCCAATGCCTTCTCTTCTTCCTTCTCCTCCACCCCTATTCTAAATCCATCATCATCATCATCATCCAGGAGCCTTCTCATACACACCTCCAAAGTAAGTGAACTTTTCTACCATTTTGTTGAATTTTTGTAAATTTTCCGTGAGCTGGAACCAATTACCCAAAAACCCATTGAAACAATGGTTTGATTAAACGACCTTCTGGAACAGTTGAGTTTGTTAACGGAGGGTCACAAAAAATATATATATATATATATATATATATATATATATATATATATATATATATATATATATATATATATATATATATATATATATATATATATATATATATATATATATATATATATATATATATATATATATATATATATATATATATATATATATATCTATATGAGGTACGTTAAGTGAACAACAGAACATATGGGATTAATTCCAATAGAGACTGGCCCGACCCAAACTCCACTTTTGGCAGACACACAACTATGTTGTAGTAAAAATTTTATCTTAACTTTATGATGGTATGCACACAATTAATAATTAAGAGAAATATCAATAATAATGAGTTTTTAACACTTGCATTAGTAGAAAAGATGGCTGGGCACAGGGATGGGGGTTGGTTCGAGGCAGAGGGCAGATTATTGGCCTCACCTGTATCACTTGTATCAATTGTATCACTATCCACCACAGAGGCTTGCAGGGCCTCTTTGTCAACCCTCAAAGGCCATATAAGTCCATATCCTCACTATCACTATCACTGACTTGGGCGGCTGTGGTGGGTGAAAGAACTTCGGTAATGTTTTGATGACTGGCGACCTTATCTGCATCGTCTTATGCCGCTTCCGCGTATATGATGAAAAATTCGCGTTAAGTGAAAGTTCAGCTCTGGCGAGGCACCGCGTATGTAAATAGCGTTAAGTGAAAGTTAAGTAATACTAATATATATATATATATATATATATATATATATATATATATATATATATAATATATATATATATATATATATATATATATATATATATATATATATATTTATATATTTTGAAAGGTATTACGGTGTCTTGATGAAAGTGGCGTGGCCTTATTACACACTTTCGCCTATGTTTGGGTCTTGGGGGGGAGTCACTTATCTGCCAGAGTATGACTAAAACTGAATTTTGAACTAAAAACCTTGGTCGACTTATAACTTACAGTCGTACAGGTTGTAATAATTTGTTGCAGTTGGGAAGCTTCGTGACATCACTAGTGTATAATGCATCTCCATATGCCTTGGTTTATTCATTGATCAGTTGTCCAAGCACAAAAGTAGCCAAGTCAAGCCATCATGTACCAATTTTAAAATAAAAATTACAATGTAAAATGTTATAAGACAATGGTTAAGTAGTGCTGTTAACACTTAAGCCCCGGGTCAGGGTGCCGCTGTCAGTACCCCCCACCTGGGGGTAAATCAAGAAAAATCAACTTTTCATTTTTTCTTTTAAATGATAAAACAATAAAAAATGGATCAGAAAAACAATATATTGACCCTCTAGAAACTTCCCCTAGTAGTGCTGAGGTGGAGGTAGATATGAAGACACTGTTGGTTTGAAGCTTGTGGTCCCTCAGCACTTAGCAGCTATTTTTAGCCTCCTTTTTGTCCGAGGTGGCCAATAATGCATACCGTACATTTACTGATCATAAAACTTATTTGCTATAAATAATTCATTTGAATATTTTATTTGCATTATTTTTCATAAAAAGGTGCTTAACACGCATGATCGGTCACCCGGCTGTCTTTGTTTGGTAGAGCAAGTAATGCATAAAATAATTACAGTATAATTCCACAAATAAATACATTTATAACAATCATAGCATTATTTTCCAGTAATACGACACTAAAATACAATTACACTACTTTTAGCAATATTATTTTGATACATGATAAAATGGACAAACAAAAGTAGGTAATTACGTCCAAACTTCCCTGTGGCCGAGCATGTGGCTTGACAAGCAAATAGTCACACTGGAACCTGATAACCCACGCTGGGCATTTAAACAGTGGCAGGAAAAGGCGAGCATTCTGGAGTGTCACCTGAGGTGTAAGGGTTAATGTGTATGCTGTTTAAGTGTCTTGGCATTTCACCTCACCACCTGACTCTTGAACAAATCCTTCAATGTGCTTGGCAAGCTCAACAATATTGCTTTGAATGTTTGACATGCACACACACACGTGAATTAAGACAAACAACCAACCAACCAGTGAGGGTCTTGTTGTGTGACTACATGGAGGTGAATTAAAACAATAGCTGTCGAGGAGCTTATCCCTTGGCAACACTGGTGCATGCTACCACTCTATCTCTAATCACTCCACATTTTAAAATGGTATGGAATGTAATGTTGAACGGATCCAACTTTGCCCATTTAAACTTATATTTATCACAATCTCTCTAAAAAATACTTTAGGTTTCATTTTTATTAGAGATATCTTCAGGTCATGAGACCCATTAATCCCCTACCCAAGAAAGGGTGACCGGACATTCCATCAGGTCAGTAATATGAGACCACTAATCCCCCACCTGATGTTGAGCCAGGTCAGGTCCCCAACCCCCCCCCCAAAATACTTTAGCCTTTGTCTTTATTAAAGACATTTTCAGAAAATTCTCTCTATTTTCAACCCCGAAGAATTTGATTTTTAAATTCCTACTTTGGGAATGATCTTTCGAGCACATTTCATTTCTGGCTATCGGAAAGTTCCGGGTTTGAGGCAAAAAAAAATCTACCAAGAAAAGATACAGCGTGGCTTTTCTGTGCAAGGTCACTAGTCTGTGTTGGAGAGATACCTGTTATAAATAAGAAAATAAATTCTAGGTACAAAATTGAGCAAATAAATTCCAAGTTCAAAATGCACTATACAAATTTTGATGGAGTAAATAAAACCATATAATCTCTCTTATTCCTTTATTTAGATCTACTTAAGAGGGATAAACCTGGAGCTGTGGGTGGCACCAATACCCGGCCTACCATGCTTAACTGGCTTGTAGGTGATGGAGAACTCAGCTAGGTAATGACTGATCATCTCTGGCTGGAAAGTGAAAAAAAAGTAAATTAATAAAGTTAAATTTACTTTTAAATTAATAATAAAGAAACAACTGATGTAAAAATCGCATATCGACGAGAAAAGCAATGGTCAAATGCCTCCATTCCCATAAGAATGAATTATTCATTAGATAACATTTACTTAAAATGAAAATTAAGACATTTCCTGCTTTGGTACAGAATAGCATATACAGTATTTGATTACTGCATCCATTATATTTTTGGGTGGCCTACAACCACTAGTAGCCTCTAAATTCAGACTGATGGTAAGGCCTTCCATTATTGGTTAACAAAAAATATGAGAAACTGTATTCGCAAGTATGGTCCACATCAGTTCATCAAAAAGTAACATACAAAAATTCAACATCAGGTTTGTATTTGAGAGATATACAATACTCCTGTATTCTGCACTTTTATTATAAAACATGCTATTATTTGTATCCAAACCACCAAGACAAATGTACTACCATAAATAACAGTAACCAAAAGCATTGACATCCTATATATACCATATGTTCTTGAGGAGCATAGGGCAATTTAAAATAAATTTAAACACCCAATAAACCTCAAGGTTGATCTCCGAGCTTGCTTTATGACTGGATTACTGTCGAGTCCAGTCATTTGGTTTGCCACTCAGATATGGTCACTAAATACAAGGGTAAAGTTTACTTTATCCCACTTGCACCTTACCTAGAACATGCACAAACCAGACCATGATGGGACTAGCTCTCTCCTAAAGTTGTGTTAATACATTGCAAGGTATGCATTAAATATCCTACTTTTCAAAAATTATATTCTAATATATTTTTAAATTTTGCAATCTGATAAAAGTTTTGTTTTATCTTATCCAGGAACACTTACTCCATCTTAAAGCCGCTTTCTGAGAAAATGCTCACAATGCTGCCCTATATTCCCCTTATCTCGTCTTGTGTATTCTATGTATTGTTTCACCTTTCCTCCAACAATGTAGTCCCATCTTACTGTCAATACACCCACTAAATCTCCTGAGATTCCTTCCTGCATCTTTTTCATGTCCAAACCAACTCAGCAAATCACCCTTCACAACACTAAACAATTTACACCCTTTGCCATCCCAAACACTAACATATTCTTAAATAATAAATCTTCATTCCAAGTTTAAATAAAATATGATGGTAAGTGTTTTACAGTACCCTTTCCAAGGGTACATTCCTTCCCAAAATGATATTGTACTTCTAATTTCCCTTCTCCAGTAAACCATTTTTACTTAAAATCAATCCCAAACATTGTAAATGAAATATTTTACCTCTGCCAGCATTTTAATAACCACAAATCACCCTTTTAAATTTGCAAATTTTCCTACCCCTGGTAAGATTTTCCCAAAATACAGGTACTCCTCGACTTACGACAATTCAGACATACGACCGCCGTGGTCGCATAAAATATTTTTCAAATTACGTATTTTAAAGTACCGAAACGTTTCGGTCCTGTACGACAGCGTGGGCTGGGCAGCCTCGTGGTGTACAGCATCCACACCGTAGCCCGCTCAGTTGGTGTTTGGGCGTCGTTGTTGTCTTTAGTTATCGCGCTGTGTACTGACAATTTTTTTTTTTAAATCACCTTAAAATGACTGGCACGTATAAAAATGAGAGTTCTAGTGGTGCTGTGAAGAAAAAAAGACAGTCAATTACTTTTGAGATAAAAACGAAAATAATAATGCAATATGAAAATTGAACAACGGTAGCAAACATTTCACGCGATCCTGGCTTCTCTCACTCGACAATATCAACAATTTTGAAGGACAAGGAACAGATTTGTGAGGTAGTAAAAGGATCAGCACCTAAAAAGGGAACAATAATAACAAACCAAAACTTCACAGCAAGTCATGGGTGGTTCCAAAGGTTTAAGAAGCGTTACAGTTTGCATAGTGTAAAGGTGAGTGGAGAGGCAGCAAGTGCTGCCGAAGCTTTTAAGGAGAAGCTAGATCGTGTCATCGTGGAAGGAAATTATTTGCCTGAGCAAATATTTAATGTGATGAAACTGGCTTATTCTGGAAGCGCATGCCAGAACGGAAATACATCCACAAAGAGGTGAAAACCATGCCGGGATTCAAGGCCTGAATCACACTACTGTTTGGGGGGGGGGTGTAGTTGGTTTCAAGGTAAAACCCTTCATGATATATCATTCAGAGAACTCAAGGGCTTTTAAAAATGTCAGCAAGCACACACTGCCAGTGTTTTATCGCAGTAATAAGAAAGCATGGATGACCCTAGCAGTGTTTGAGGATTGGTTCCCGAGTTGTTTTATTCCACGAGCCAAGGAATATTGTCTGCAACAAAGGGTTGCATTCACACCACACCTGGACGACATGCACCCTGATGTTAAGGTAGTGTACATTCCACCTAACACTACCTCTATCATCCAACCCATGGATCAAGGTGCTATTGCTGCCTTTAAAGCGTATTATTTATGTACGACCTTCGCTCAGGCCGTTGCTGCTACTGAAGGTGAGAAAATGCTCAAGAGAGTTTTGGAAGGACTACAACACTTTGCAATGTACAAAGAACATAGCTGCAGCATGGGATGAGGTTACAGCTAAGTGCATGAATGAAATACGGAAGGTCCTGAAAAGATGTGAACAGTTTCAAAGGATTTAATGAAGATGAAGCAATATCTGAGATTAGAAACAAGATAGTGCAGTTGGGTAAACATTTGGAGTTAGAAATTGATAATGAAGATGTTGAGCAGTTGGTGGAAAGTGTAGCAGAAGAGCAAAGTAACGAGGATCTTATTGAACTGGATGCACAGAAAATTGCAGAGGAGGAAGAGAGACAAAATGTAGAAGAACCTGCACCCCCCAAAAAGTTTTCAGTGAAACAAATGGCAGAAGCATTTGCTACTATTAATAAGGGGATGCAAATATTTGAAGAAATGGATCAAAATGGTGAGCATTTTGCAAAAGTTGATAGACTGATCCAAGATGCAATTGCTTGCTACAGGGAGATTTACATGAAAAGAAAAGGCAAACTGTACAGTCTAAATTGGACACATATTTTAAGAAGTCCTGCCTCTTCACTCCCTAAAGATGATCCAATACCTTCAACAAGCAAGTATCCTCTGTATGTTAACCTGTCTGAATAAAACAAAATTGATGACCCACCCAGCCTCCTTCATCCAATTAATGTAGTCTCCATGTTTAATTTAAAAATTATTGATGCCCTGTGTGCTTTCATCTGACTACATTAAAGGTAAGTGCACAGTAACACTTTTTTTCATTATTGATTACTTTTACTGTACCGTATTTCATTCTAGAATTTCTATGTATTATTTTCGCATTTTCGACTTACGACCTGGTCAAGACGGAAGAAGAGAGACTGTACACTATTGTACAGGGTACATCAAATTCCTCCCCCTCAAAAAATTAATATCTTAATTTACACTGTATGACCCTTTGCAATTTCCTTCTACTATACACATGAATACACCCTATCAAGGTTATATGGTTCCTGAGCTTGACACTCCACAACAAGCATTGCACCACCACCACCTCCCAGTCTTCCAGCTCCAGCCACCCCTGCCTTCATCTCTCTCTGCACTTTATACTTATGAACATATCAAAACATTCAAATGATTCTAAATATAAAATTCATTTTTTTACCTATTACTGTATTAGTAACAATATGCATTATCCACACACCAGTTGGGTACAATTATTTTGGATGCAGTATGGGTTACCCGTGCAAATACCAACCTTAATTTCAACTTGATTGAAGGTCTTGCCATTATACACACCGACCATAGATCCTACCATTTCAGGTACAATGATCATGTCACGCAAATGTGTCTTGACAACGGCAGGCTTTTCAAGGGCTGGGCATTCCTTCTTAGCCTTTCTCAGCCTCTTTAGGAGAGCCATATGTTTACGCTTTAATCCCCGCTGGAAACGGCGACGCTGACGGCAAGGGAACAACTCAACCAGCTGTTCACTGAAAAGATTGACATTACAATAATAGTGTATGTAAAGCACACACTGTAAAATTTCAGAACAAAAAATTATAAATACAGCACAATGAAGGGCTACAAAATGCAATTACACTAACAGGATACTTCCTACATATTCCAGCTAACATACAGAGAGGGTGGAATGTACAGTCAACCAAAAAGTATCGAGACCGTAGGCTCTGGTGGAATAGAAAACAGGAGACATGTTCATGTATCAGTTGAGTCTTCGCCCAATGTTCCACATTAACAAAAGTTATTTTAGGCTAAATAATTTAGTGAGCATGAGGTTAGCCAAATTTTAACAAATTACATATGGAGTGTCAAAAATTAAAAAAAATTGCTTTAAGAACATAAGGAGTCTGCAATAGGCAGGTTGGCCTGTGCATGGCAGCTCCTACCGAGACTTACTACCACTCTCTATCATTCCGGGGTTCCAGCACTTACTACAAAGTTGCTAAGCTTGTTCCACTCATCTACCACCCTATTTGTGAACCAGTTCTTTCCCATCTCCCACCTAAACTTATCCAACTTAAAGCCGTTAATACGTGTCCTATCCTGCTCGGATATTATAGGAATTTTATCTATGTCACCTTTATTGATTCCTTTCACCCACTTAAATACTTCTATCATATCTCCCCGCACTCTTCGTCTTTCTAGGGAATGCAAGTTAAGTTTCTTTAACCTATCCTGATATGGAAGGTTTCTAGGTCCCGGAATCATTTTCGTCATTCTTCGCTGCACCGACTCTAGTGAATTGATATCCATTCTATAATAAGGGCACCAGAACTGAACCGCATAATCGAGGTGCGGCCTAACTAGAGCAAGATATAGTTGCAATAAGACCTCTTCTCTCTTGTTACTTACACTTCTAGATATAAAACCCAATACTGTTTGCCTTATTTCGAACATTAACGCACTGTTTTCTAGGCCGTAGGTCCGGGCTTACAAGTACCCCTAGGTCTCTTTCACAAGTCGACTTCTCTAGGATGATGTTGTAGAGCCACCAGACTGGTGCCGGCACTACAGTACCTCGGTTACCCTGAAATTGGTGCACCTGCAACTGCCTAGCTTATACTGTACTACAGACAGGCAAGGGCGGTCCAACTAATTACCCAAATGTAACCGCAATGAAGTCAAATAATGGTCCAACATGAATAAATCGGACTGCTAATCACTTCTCGACTAGTATTTGGTGTCACAAAGTCAAAAAACTGGAAAACTTACTTTAATCTGAGTTAATAGATCGCGTGCATCTACCGAGGGAGCGAGTAATTACCCAAATGGAGCCGCAATGAAGTCAAATGATGGTCGTACAAGCATAAATCGGGCTGTGAATCACTTCTCGATTATTATTTGGCGTCATAGTCACAAAAAATTGGTAAATTTAATTTAATCTGAGTTAGGTACATGCACTCGATCTATAAACCCAGATTAAATTAAGTTTACCAATTTTTTGTGACTTCGTGACACCAAATACCAGTCGAGAAGTGATTGGCAGTCCGATTTATTCATGTAGACCATTATTTGACTTAATTGCGGCTACATTTGGGTAATTACTAGCTCCCTCGGTACATGCATGCAATCTATTAACTCAAATTAAATTACGTTTTCCAATTTTTTTTTTACTTTGTGACAACCAAATACTAGTCGCGAAGTGATTGGTAATCCGATTTATTCATGTAGGACCATTATTTGACTTCATTGCGGCTACATTTGGGTAATTAGTCGGACCCAGGCAAGGGGGAACCTAAGTGAGGTGTGTAAACATCTGAGGCACTCCTCAGTCGAGTGTCCTTACCTGGAGCTGGTGGACGCTCGCCCCACAGGGGGTCACAGCTCAAGATGCAGGCAAACTTTTTCGGAGTGAGAATTGTGAACTCTTGGGACAATCTACCAGAGAATGTTGTGACGGCACCGAGTGTGAGCTGTTTCAAGTCCAGACTTGACCAACACTCGAGGAGGTTCAGATACATTCAGGAGCCAATTCATGCCCAGTGCTTATCAACAGTGCATAACAGAGTCGTGACCAAGCGCCACATGAGCGTCCTTCAGTTTACCCATAAAAGCTCATTACACAAAATGATGGTCCACCAGGAGGCTCAGAGGCGGGTCACCATCAGCCAAACACTTCACTTATAACAATTTAGTTTATGGCCACACTCACTTGTTCATGTCCAGCAGTTGGTCCAGGTCCACCCCTCGGTAGGTGAACTTCCTGAAGGTTCTCTTCTTCCGTAGTTCCTGGGCCTGTGCCTGTTATTAATACAATAAAACATCTTACCTACAATTGTCCGGCACACAAATTAAAAACAAATATCCATTTATATTTCACAATATCTTTTTAAGATTCTCATACATGTGTTGAATCATTATATATCTTTCATTAATGGTTTGTCTCAGTGTGTTGCAGGATGGAAATGGATTTATCAAAGGTAAGCTCCGCCAGACGTACGTCAGCCATGGTGACTTGTTGTGAAGGAAGGACCGCTGCTCAGGGTTGCCAACTCGGATTTTCAAATGTCGCTAGGCTGGTACCTAAAAGTAGCTAAATGTCGCTAAATCTTCCATGGAAAGTCGCTAGCTATTATTCCCCCCCTTCAGTATAAATAAAATGCATTATGTAAAAATAAAAATATTATTTTTTTTAAAGTTTAATGTGCACACTTACCTATTATTCAATAGTAATTGCATCCCAGTCCTCTTCGTAGTCGTCGGCAGTGTGAACAACTGTAGAGCTGGAAGCATGTGAAGTGCTTGGTTCAGGTTCTCTTGTAACTGTATGCCTCCACAGTCCCTATCTTTCTTAAAATATCACTAGGAAGTTCATAACTTGCACAACAGGTGTTCTGTCTTTTTAACCCATACTTTATTGTAAGAATTGCCTTTAATGTCGATAGTTTCATTTTGTTGCGAATTTTGATGTCACAAAGTTCATATTACTAAATATGCGCTCTACATCTGCGTTTGAATGCGGAAGAGATAAGGCAGCGAGTGCAATTTCAGCCAGATCATGGTAAGGGTTTTCACCTGTCGCATCTCTGTAATTTGCCACTTCTGACCACAATTTTAGGGTGTTAGATGTTTCTGTCCAGATTGTGTGATGCAGTTTTTTCCACTGGAAATCAATCTTGGTAAGGGTGCTGGAATCTTCTGTAAATAAGTGTGCCAAACCAAGTATATCTGATTTAATAGGCTTCAAGCATTCATCGGCACTCAGAAAAGAAATAGACTGCAGCACACGAATGTTGTCAGGTAAGCGTTGACCAAGTTGTTTTATGAGTTCAACCCGTTCAAATGTATTGTCCCTGTAACCCCGTTGCTATATATTATGGCTCGAAATTAGGAAAACTGAGTTTTCATGGACAGTCCCAAAAGTATCCAGAAAGTCGCTAGATTTCTGTGGATATCTCTAGATTTGCGACAAGTCGCAAATCGCTCTAAAATGTCGCTAGAAAAAAAACAAAAAGCTCTAGATCTAGCTACAAAGTCGCTAAGTTGGCAACTCTGCCGCCGCTGATGCTCCCTTGTCTCCCTCACACGGTATGACAAGACGCTACAGCAAATACTGCACCAATATGCTTATAGTAATAATAATAATAACAATAGTATTTATTCAATAAAATTATCATACAGGCTTGGACTTGGATTGTCATGTATATGAATTACACAGATATACAGTATGAATATATATAATTTTGGTTAGGCCGTGGATTATACAGTTTCATTTGTCTTGAGTCTCTAACCAATGCCTCTAATGTGAATAATGAACATAAAAAATCAATGTATTAGTTTATTTTTCAGGTAAATTATAATATATGAGATAATTCATAATAAAAAAACATCTGAATTGCATCATATACTATCTTCAACTTTTCAAATAAAAATAAAATAAATTGTTTGAACAAATTTTTCCCCCAAAAATTATTATGAATAAGGAATAATTTAGATGAAGTTATTAAATGAATTATTCAAATAATATAGTAAAATGCATTTACAAAGTTCAGTCATCATTTGTGTTGTTATGAGTGCTGTGTTTCATATATTTTTCTTTATATTTCATGAACTTATATGAAATTAAAGCTGTCTCATATGTAAAAATTTGTATGGCAAGTTAGTATTAAATTGAGTCAGAATAAGGAAAGGAGATATATTAACAGCTTGGTGGGGGGGGGGGGAATCTAATTTCAGTATTATTAAATATATATTTTTTTGTATGGCCGCTTATTGGTGCCAAAATTAAATAGCCAATGGATATAACTAACAAATTGACTAGTGTAGAGTTATGTATGCAATTTAGTGATAAATAATAAATTATTTCTCCTCGGTGAGACTGAAACAATATTATAAATATTAAACTACGGGACTAATATTCACCATTCTTACCATATATCTGCACTACCTATTTTAGTCTATTTATATTGTGCTGTACTATGTTTACACATGCTGAATCAGTTTAAGCTTCTGTGACGATTTTACTGAATAATATCTATTTTCTATCTGTTTTTGACCCGAATATCTGAACAATAATGTGGTTTTGTTAAAGGAACTGAAGGAGACTGGTAGGCGAACGGTCCTGTACTGTAAACACTTCACTCAGCATGGCCAGTGTGCAGGAGAAGAGTTGCTCGGTTATTGCAACTAATTTACCCACTGATGTCAGCAGACGTGAAATACAAGAGTTTTTCAGTGAAGTTGGACCCGTGAAGAAGTGCCATCTTGTGAGGGATAAAAGTTAGTGTTGTTTAGAGACCTTGTTGTAACATATTGACCGACAGGCTATATCACTTCTGCGCTTATAATGATAATGATAATAAATGATAATAATATTAATAATAATAATAATACAAATAATATAAATATTAATAATAATGAAATGTATGGTAGAAGTAGAGCAGACGGCTAGCACCTGAGCATGTTAATAGGGTCCGACTAATTACCCAAATGTAGCCGCAATGAAGTCAAATAATAGTCCTACATAAATAAATCGGGTTACCAATCACTTCTCGACTAGTATTTGGTTGTCACAAAGTAAAAAAAAATTGGAAAACGTAATTTAATTTTAGTTAATAGATCGAGTGCATGTACCGAACCTAACCTAACCTAACCTAACCTCGACTAGTATTTGGTGTCACGAAGTCACAAAAAATTGGTAAACTTAATTTAATCTGAGTTAATAGATCAAGTGCATGTACCTAATCTAACCTAACCTAACATAACACAACTCAGATTAAATTAAGTTTACCAATTTTTGTGACTATGACACCAAATAATAATCGAGAAGTGATTCACAGCCCGATTTACGCTTGTACGACCATCATTTGACTTCATTGCGGCTTCATTTGGCCACATTTGGGTAATTATTCGCTCCCTCGGTACATGCACGCGATCTATTAACTCAGATGAAAGTAAGTTTTCCAATTTTTTTGTGACTTTGTGACACCAAATACTAGTCAAGAAGTGATTAACAGTCCGATTTATTCATGTAGGACCATTATTTGACTTCATTTTGCTACATTTTGCTACGTTTGGGTACATTTGGGTAATTAGTCGGACCGTGTTTATATGGTAAAGGTGGAGAACCGTAGATATGAATATCATTGCAAAACACAATAATGGGAATCTTATGAATTTTATCTTTACAGTCAATAGTGTAAACAATTCTAAGACATTTTTCTTCTACGATGTTTCCCTTGCAAACAACTTGTATATGTCAGGGGGTCCAACTCGGCCCATTTCCAACTAAAGAACATAAGAAAATAAGGAGTCTGCAATAGGCCGGTTGGCCTGTGCATGGCAGCTCCTGTCGAGAGTTACTACCACTCTCTATCATCCATGAATCTATCCAGTCTCCTTTTGAAACTTTCCAGCATTCCAGCACTTACTACATAGTTGCTAAGCTTGTTCCACTCGTCCACCACCCTATTTGTGAACCAGTTCCTTCATATCTCCCTCCTAAACCTACACTTATCCAACTTAAATCTGTTGCTTCAAGTCCTATCCTGCTCGGATATTATAAGAACTTTATCTATATCCCCTTTATTGATTCCTTTCACCCACTTAAATACTTCTATCATATCTCCTCGCACTCTTCGTCTTTCTAGGGAATGCAAGTTTAGTTTCTTTAACCTATCCTGATATGGAAGGTTTCTAGGTCCCGGAATCATTTTCGTCATTCTTCGCTGCACCGACTCTAGTGAATTGATATCCATTCTATAATAAGGGCACCAGAACTGAACCGCATAATCGACGTGCGGCCTGACTAGCGCAAGATATAGTTGCAATAAGACCTCTGCACCCTTATTACTTATACTTGTAGATATAAAACCCAATACTCTGTTTGCCTTATTTCGAACATTAACGCACTGTTTTCTAGGCCGTAGGTCCAGGCTTACAAGTGCCCCTAGGTCTCTTTCACAAGTCGACTTCTCTAGGTTCATATTGTTAAGGCTGTATACATTGACAGTATTTGTTCTTCCAATATTAAGTACGCTGCACTTGCTGGTGTTGAATTTCATTTGCCATTTTTCAGACCACCCCTGCAGTTTATTTAGATCCTCCTGTAATGCATTTGCATCCTGCCCTGAATTAATCTGCCGCCCTATTTTGGTGTCATCCGCAAACTTGCTTATGTCACTGCTGATCCCAGTATCTAGATTGTTTATGTAGATTATGAACAAGAGTGGGCCTAGTACTGACCCCTGGGGAACCCCACTGGTTACACTGCCCCACTCAGATTTAACACCATCTACGCTGACCCTCTGCGTTGTGTCGGTGAGCCATGATTTTATCCAATTTAAAACTTTCCTCTCGATACCATGAGCCTTAATTTTTCTCAGAAGCCTCTGATGCGGTACTCTGTCAAATGCTTTGCTAAAGTCTAGGTAATTAACATCGTAATTTTCGTCATTATCTACTACCTCGAAGACATTCCTAAAAAACATCAGCAGATTTTTTAGACAAGATTTTCCCTTTGTAAACCCATGTTGCGAGTCGTAGATTAATTTGCTTTTCTCTAAATGCGATCGGATGCTATCTGCTATAATTGATACAAGAAATTTCCCCACTAATGACGTCAAACTGATCGGCCGGTAATTTGACGCTGATGCTCTGTCTCCCTTTTTGAATGTGGGTACTACATTTGCCTGTTTCCACAAATCTGGCACAACTCCCGTGTCTAATGATTTTGTAAATAAATTTATGAGGGGTCCTCTAATCTGTTCCCTACACTCTTTCCAGACTCGAGGGAAAATTTCATCCGGCACTGGGGATTTTGTCTTCTTTAGTTTATTTATCCTCTTAAGAACATCCTCTTTTCTGATAGTGATATTCATTAATTTCTCTTCTTCCTTTCCCCTAAATATCAGTTCCACCTTTGGAATTTTCTCGCTAATTTCTTCTATGAAAACTGATAAGAAGTAGCTGTTCAATGCCTTGCTTATTTCTTCACTGCCATTTATCACTTCTCCCCTCACTGACTTTAAAGGCCCAACTTTGTCCTTGACCTTTG